CAATTAAATCTTGAATTTTCAGTAGATTGAAAATTATCAAAATGCTAAAGAAAAATGGTTTTATCAATGAGGAACTCTCTAAATTATCATTTAACTTTGTTAAAAAATTGTTTAATTTGACATTTCGAGTGGATGGGTTTTGATGTTCTGTATTGTTGAGAAAGTATATTGATAGTACAGCGACTCAATTTGCAATTAGCGGTGACAGTGGGTGGTCCAGTGATCCTGAGCATGACAGTTTTTACGAAAGGGCTTTTTGATGTTTTACAATGAGAAAGATTAACGTTGTAGTGGTTAGCCTGAATCCTTCAAATAAATTCTCATGTGCTATTGGGTTCTGATACCCTTTTCTACTTGCTCAATCTCGCTACTTCAACTCCCTTCAGGTCATAATTCCGGGATAATAACCACGGAGAAACCACATGATATTGTGGTCGTTTTGTCATTCCAGCTCTTCCATGAAAATAAAATATAGAAAATAATAATAAAATTCAAATAATAAAATATAAAATCCAAGAGCAGAGTCTCTACATAGATATCAAATATAAATATTACGTCACATTTTTTATTCGCACCGCAGCGCGGAGTCGTCAGACGATTGATTAATAATTATCAATAAAATTATCAATACAGAATCAATTCCCGTAATTGCAGGAGGGTGGCATTCCCTTTTCTCGGAATTTCTCCTTCTCCGCGGATTCATTTCGCCTGGTTATTTTTCTTATGGTTATTTTTATTTAATTTCTCCCTCGGTTTATAAAAATTATGAAGATAGCTTCGAGGGATGTGCTATGAGGTACTTGATGAGAGTCGATCAAAGAAAATCCGTCTGTTGTCATATGATGTCTTGAGGATATTCCTGGTAATTAGGAATATTAATTTCGTTTTGTGTAATTGGACGATGTTGGGGACATTGAAAGGACGGGGGAGGGGCTGTACGCCTCGGTTTTCAATGCAGATGTCAACCCATTATCATTCTCCATACCCTGAGCTACTGTTACAATGAATATCAGCTTTTCTCTCTTCAAGTTGTCTCTCTTACTGTCGCCAATTCACTCTCTCGTTATTGTCGCATTCGAACGAACGTTTTCACCGGCAACTTTACAATTTTACTTTCGAGTCTCAATTCCTCACTGTTGTCATTATCGAATGGAAAATTTTTAATGAGATTCCCCTCCCACCTCACCACCCACTGCATGCAAACGTCGAGTTTTGCGAAATACCGGGAAAAATGAATTATTGGATTCTATATTTGGAACGGATAATTTTTTATAAGAGACTCATAAAATTATTTCAATTCCTTAAATTTTTAAAATATACAATTAATACATTTTTTTCGGGAAGTGATGAATTAATCAACAATTAATAAATTAAATCCAAAAATTAATTGATTTATTTGGGATTTGCAGAATTTTTTTCCGTTTAAAAAATGTTTAATGATGATTAATTGTTAATTGGACATTTTTTAAGGGAAAAATTCAGCAGAATTCGAAAATTGATTTTTATCATCCCCTAGCATTTAATTTTCAGTCGAAACGACTAAACTGAGATCTTTGTACCCAAAGAAGAGAAACGTTGAATTGAGAATGAAGTAGAATAAAAGGTGGTGTGGGTAGTATTTTAAAATGGAATAGGATGGGTGAAATGGGGTGGGAGACGTTTAATAAAAGTACGAATATCGCCAATAACTCGGTCTCTCATTCTTGAATAATTTCCACTCTATCGGAAAATAATTATACTTTATCGCGGGTGCCTCTCGACGATTCTCAAATCGCTCAATTATACTTTTTATCCTTTATCCCCCACCCTCTTCTGTAGTCCCACTCTTATTACTCATTCTACCTTTCATTTTCTTCCGTACCCCATCATTGTCTCGATCCAATCTGGATATGGGCGCAAGTATCACTGATAAATGCCTTTTTTTCCGTTAATGTCTTTTCTCTCATCTCTTACCGTTCACTTATTACGATTTAGTTTAAGAAATCCTTTAAATATTCCCCAACAAATGATTGACTAAAAAAAAAAAATTTTCAAACTCTCGTACTAACAGAAATTCCATTCATAACTAAAAATTCTAAATTCAAAAATCTTGACTGACCCCAAGTTATTTATTTTCCGAGTACAACACCCAATAAATAAATAAACCATTATTTTTGTTGATAAAAGTAATGAAAATGATAGCAAACTTTAAAAGCACGTGGCGAACAACTACCCTCGAAAAGTTTATACCCCGAAAATGTAAAGAGGGACGAAGGGAGTGTAGGGGGTGTAGGGGGTGTAGGGGGTTGAGAGTATGGGGTAGAAACCGCAGTAGTCAACCCCCCAGGTATTTTCGCACTCAACTAAAAAGCCCTATATAGCCCAAGCCAAAATCATAACTATATAACTATAAATAGAAAATGGATTATAAGCGCATTTGGGTACAGTGGGTAAAACCCCGTTGAAACTACCCTCCACCTTCTGATATTATCGGTAATAGCGCAATTATGATAATGGCGGGCAATTCGTCTCTCGCGCCACGAGAAATTTTGCGAAAGCTGGTGGAAAACGACTATGGCCAACTGAGACTGCTAATGAAGGAAACAGTTAGTTCCAAACGGCCTACCAATAATTATCTCCCCTCCATCCACTCACTTTATTCTTCCTCTCGGTACCTCATCTCGTGTACAATTTACAATGCATTAAATTGTTCACACTTCCCTTGACATTCACTGTATACGTTCGACACACCGTAGTTCCTGGGGGCTAAATCCCTCGATTACGTGTCTAGGGTGCAATTACAATTGTCAATGAAAAAATCAAGTACCGAGTTTAGAAAAAATTGAGCGACAACTCGCGTCAGACATTATTCACTTCCATAATTATTTCTTAATTCGAGAAAAATTGTGGGGAGCACCTGCACTGAGAGAAAATTGATATTCTTAATAGAGGAACATTTTGTTTATGCAATTTTTCATTGTTATATAATTTCAGTCCTGAATTAATTCCCGCAATTTTATTTTCAATTCTATATATTAATATTACTGCTTTCCGAAGTGTTTTTATTTTTTATTTGTGAATTATTATGTGTAGGGATTTAATTGAGTTATGGAGATGGTGAATAATTATTTACTGAGAATATTATAATATACTTTTTCAGGGGTATTTATCGAATCCCTGTGAATTACCCCCGACACAGACATCCAGTAAGTGACATGAAAATAACATGTTACCCAGAGGCCAAACTTGTTGCAAACCATTTATAGAATAATCAGAATGTGGAATGGCCCACAGAACGATCGGGTTTATAGAACCCGTCTCCGAAGGCAGAGAGCAGAGGATGCAGTGAAAAGCAGAGTGAGACCATTATCAACACGAGTTGAAGAGAGAGGGACTGATAGGTATGCCAGTAGAGAGGTCCTACCATGGCAGTTTCAAACGTTGATGTGTTAATATTGGTAGAGCTAATTTGATGGTTTAATCAATTTCCGTGGGTTGACGGCAGTTTAATAGTGATGTCATCATTTTCACCAGCAATACAATGAGGTTCAATCTACGTCCAAAACTACCGTCAACCAATATACCCACAATTAAACAAAGTTTTCAATGAAATCATGGAGTTAATCGTCCTTCAATTCCGTCAGAACTCAAGATACGGGAAAAATCCTCAGGAGACAAATCACACATCATTTCTAAAATGCCGCATTTTCATTTTCTAGTTCAAGTTGATTGAAAAATTTTCTTTTTTTATCTCAAGTTTTAGTTACCGCATGAAAATGTGAAACATTCGATGATTATTCGAGAATCTAGAACTGAGAATTGCGCGGCCATCTTGAAAGCCCATGGTGCCACGTGGAGAGGTCCCGACAAAAGGGCGGGCGCATCTGTCACCCACCTCGCATCTTTGAACACGAATTAAAATAATTGAGCTTGCTGAAATTATTCGCAAATCGTTTCATTCTATTTTAATGCAGTGAACAATTTTTTTGAGCTATTTTTTGCAAATTTCTGTCGTTTTCATGAGTGCTTGTGATTTATTGCAATTGATTTGATTCGCCCTCGAGTTAATTACCTCACTGTTCAATTCAGCTACCAACTGGCAAAAATCTTCTCTCCATTTCACACAGATATTCCCGGGATTCACCCTGTCTGCGTGGATAGAGACAGCAGAGAAAACCAGAAGTGGGGGGTACGAAGAGGGCGCATATTAGGTTGAGGTACGCAGTTAGGCAATAACCGCTGTCAATAGAACCCTGCCCTACTACTCTTGGAGTGGTACCCACTCGAAAATGCTACTCGCTAAATTAGGTAGGTTATATGGGTTTCGTTTCATTTGCGAGCAAACTTTAATAAAACGGTAAAATTGCGTAAAAGAGCAAGGTTTTGCAGACGAGAGTAATCACTCGGATTTTTCCAATCTTTTTTTGAATCAACTGAGGTGGAGTTCACCCTGGCCGAATGCTAATTAAATCATCCCTCAATTTTGCCATATAATATTTAAAATCGCCAATGAATTTTGCAAATAGATTTTGCACATTTTCGGCATTAATAAATTCAGTCGAACTTTTTATTCAATTTTCTATTGAAAATTCTTAGAGTACATTTCTGACAGAATAAATTCCTCATTTGATCCAAATCAAATAAAAATTGTATTATTTATATTCAGAGCTGAATTTGATGATTAAAAATAGTTATCTTACTTGCCGAGAACTTTCTGATCAACTGCCGGCTTCTTACCTATGGAAAAGAAAAAACCGTTTGAACATTTTTTTTAATATAAATATACTTTTAATATACTATATATTTATGTATAATTTTTAGAGGGATATTTGCACTCACTATAACTTCACGGTGAATTCAAAACATTCGAACGAGTCAGGTTCACACGAAAATGTTCCAAATATGATCTTATGGAGAATCGCGCAGCAGTCGCCATCTGAAGATGTGGAGATGACGTCCTTACCATCCGAGACTAGGAGTTCGTAAATCACTGGCGCAATGTCGTTGACTATATATTCTCAATCTCTAAATATATATTCTTTCAAGGTGTCCCTCGTGAGTTTGTTGACATTTTCATGCGAGAGACGTCACTCCAATGTTTTAAATTAGTTTCTACGAGAATTGGTCGAGAAATTATACCCCAGAACGCTATTAAAGACAAAATTTAACTCGTGAAATGAGTCTCGGTGGTCTAGTAGCCTATGGCAGCAGTGACGAGAGTGAAGACGAGGTTAACACCGACGAAGAAAATCCCTCAGAATCTCCAAAACCAATAATAAACAATGGGGATCACCCAACAATAAATCAGCACAAGTTCCCAGAGGCGAATGGAATACAGGAAAATGAGTCTGGATCTTCGTTGTTCAATTCTCTACCAAAACCGAGGACTTTTCACTCTAATCTAGAAGAGAGTGATGACATCTCTGTGTCAAAAAACCCTCCAACTCCCTCAGAACTTCAACATAAGAAGGAAAAAGCACCTGTCAAATTTCTAGTTCCATCTTTATCTGACTTTAAAGATGTCGATGAGGAGATTGAGGAGAAGAAAACAAGGAAGCAGCCATCATGTAGTGGAAGTGGTCTGTTCAGTATGCTCCCAGCACCAGGGTCATCCCTCCCAAGTGCAAAAAAACTCGTCCCCCAGGTTCTGAAAAAGCCCCAGGTGCCTTCGACGTCTTTAACGCCTTCACAACTGCGTAAACCCCCGAAGAAATCCCCAGCACCTGTAAAATCGGCCTTAAACTCGATAAAATGCGACTCAGCCTCTGAGGACGAGGACGACGAGAAATCAGCGCCTCAGAAGAGTCTGGATTTCTTCTCCCTGTCGAAATCAGTGGAAACCCCAGTCTCTGAAGAAGCCCTGGCATCCCTGATGCTGCCGCCTCCCCCGGATAAGCCCCAGCAATCGAATTCCATCGAGAAAAGCCCAGAACGCCCTCAGAACCCTCGGGAAAGTCAATCCCTCAGGAGCACAGTGATGAATCTCCCTCGAGAGGAAATTCTCATGATGAATCAGGCAGAGGTAGGTCCAAAGCTTCCAGTACCTGAGCAGGAGTATCACATCGATGACCAGGGCAATGTCGCCTTCGATGAAAAAGCGATTGAATATCTCATTGGGAAGCGAGGGGTGAAGAGGAAGAACGAACTCATCCAGGGAACGAATATCATCGACATCAGTGGTGATGACATCAAGCCAGATGAGAGGGAGTGGCTGGTGAAGGCTCTGACGGAGGAACCTGTCCAGAGGACTGTGTCTATGTCCAGTGCTGGACCCAGCAGTGCCTCCAAGAAAAAACATCAAATCACATATCTGGCGCATCAAGCCAAGGCCATGGAGATCGAACTCCAGAATCAATGGGCTGCAAACAGAATGGCTCGGAAACAAACAAAATCCAAATATGGATTTTGAATGAAAAATATAAAATTAAAGAAATTGCATTTGTAAATTGTATTATTTGAGTGAAGAACATAATAAATATGGAATAATATTCTTGACTGAGAATGATTAGTCCTCATTTTATTCTGAAAAATGCAAATTCGTATCCTTATCCATTCTATCCTCTTATTCTCACAGAGAAAAATAATGCTAATTTAAGAACTTTTTTCTCGTTTATCCTGATATGAGTTATTCGCAGACTCTGGAATGTAGGAGAAAAATTTAGAAGTTTTTTCAGTCTCTGGAGAGTCGCAGAGTTCTGCGACTACTTCATCATCCTCTCGTCCAGCAAATTCTTGACCTCGAGGCGTCGCTTCTCCTTCTGCTCGACAGCTGCTTTTGCCTGGAGAATGTCAGCAGGAAGATCCCCATAGTAATTGATGACTTTATTTAACTCAGCAAGTTCTCCAGTGGCCCCCAGGTAACGACTGTACTTCTCCAGGATCCTGTCAGGATAATCGTCGGCTACATCGAGGCCAGCGAGTTCATTCTCCAGGTTTCCAACAGTTTCTCTATACTCGTTTAATTTGGTCAGCTTGTGAATGATCTCGGAGTACTCCCTCTCGTTCAATTCCCTCGCTGAATCTACAAAATCCGTTATGAAGTTCACCTTCTTCTGGGCATCCTTCACCTTCTCCTCGAGTCTAGCATAACGACTGCAGAGATCCTCGTACTTTCTCTTCAAGTTTCTATCAATTCTCGATTTCTGCAGCTCGTCGAGTCGCCTCCGGTTGCAAGATATTGTCAGGTGGGTTTCATCGACGGAGGAGAGCCCCTCAGTTTTCAGGATCCCGGAGACCTTCTCCAGGTGATCAGTTGTCTTTGGGGTGAGGGATCGTGACTCCAAGTCCAGGGTTTTCAGGAGAGGAGTCCACTCCTTTATCAAGGCGTTGTTTTCGGCGCACGTCTCGTGGATGCCCTTCAACAGGGGCTTAACATTGTAACTTGAATCCTCTGAGGGACGAGGTTGGGGTGGCTCACGTGGACGATATGTACTTCTTGTACTTGTTTGACTTCCGGTTATTGAACTCGCGTTCAAGGAGACAGCGGGGGAGAGCCAATTGATCTGAAGAAAACTCAGAGAATGATACCATTCGTTGGGGGAAAATATTGTTTTATATTCAATATCACATTTTATTCATTTCCATTCACTCGACTTGTTGCGAAAATCGCTGTCGAGATTTGAATCATGCAGTAAATTAATTCACACCCAAAAAATAAAATAACCCCTTGTTTTGGTTTCTCACCTTCCTCGTTGAGTCCATGCTCCTCGCCCAGCTGATTCCACTGATTTTCTGGAGCGTCCGGTGAAGTTTGAATCTCTGAATCAGTCCCACCAAAACAACCGCTTCCTGCCAACCCAGAAAATTCCCTCTCCCTAAAAAAAAATTCCACTCAAAGTTACCCCTCTCCCACTTTTCACTCAACAATTTTTCTCATTTTTCGGATTAATTTCTCCCTCAATCCTCACGAAGCACCGAATCAATAATTAATCCCGCATTTACGATAATAAGTCCTCAGTCTCTCCGCATTCGAATTTTCGCGCCTGGCGCCTAGTGACATTCGCACCGAAACGAAACCTGCGCAGAGGTGATTCGTGGCTAGTGCCGTTCGTTGTTGACAATTGAACAGAATTTTCTTGCAGTTATCTAAACAATTCCCTCCAAGATCGCTAATTGTCCCCCGATTGACAACAATCACGTGCTAATTAATTGCTGGGGATTATTTTCTGCTGGAAGGAAGAATCGATAGGTCGACGACAAACACGCGATTCAACTGATTTTAACCGCCATCTCCATGTCCTACGACTTCGGAGGCTTCGATAGGTGACTGCCAAGGGTGACTGGTGTCAAGCGTGTACTTATTCAAAGCAAAATTACGCCTAAACGAGCAAAAATGAGCGACGAGCAGACGACGATGGAACCGCCTCAAGTTCCCGAGGTGATTATCAAAATTTCAGTTAATTGTTAATTATTCCCACGACTCCAATCCCAAACCTCTTAACCTTCTCACGAAATTTCTGTCCCCCGCCTGTCAAATTGCTATCAATATTTCAGATATCACAAGTTTCACCTTTTCGCGTCTTTCTTAAGCACTCAAATACACTTCGTCAATTATTCCTACAGATTGTTTTTTACAATTGCCAAATTTCTGATTATCATTAGAATTTATCTAATCCACTCATGATTTATTGTTTTAATTATTTTATTGTCAGTTATCGTCTAATGCCATCGAGAAACTTGAAGAAGCGAAACTCAAGGCCAAATTTCCGAATGCAGGAGGTCGGCCAATTAGTGGACACTCTGCTTTTCTTCAGAAGAGATTGGCCAAGGGGGTAAATTGATTAATTAATTATATTTAAAAAATATATGTTCATGTAGACATAGAAAATGATGATTAATCGACTGCTCGTCAAAAATATATCTTGATAAATCACATGGCGATCACATTAATCATTTTTATCGAATTAATTTACTTAATGATCGATTACTTCAATTTTACATCTCAATCGAGTCGAGTTGATCTGCCCTTTTTCACAAAATATGAACAAATTCACAGAAATTTTCTCAAGTAATGATTAATGGATTTTTCTCGCAGCAAAAATTCTTCGATTCTGGTGATTACCAAATGGCAAAGCAGAAATCGACAGCTAAACCAAAGCCCCCAGGTCCATTGGGCGTCTGCTCGACTGGTGACGCTATTCCCACCCCAGAGACAGTTCCCCAGCGTAAAACATCGATAATTCAACAAAAATTCAATACATCGACTAGTTCGTAAAATCTCCACTCCTGATACTCAACTCATCTTCGTGATAGTAACTTCCACCAGTTGATTGATCAGTCAATTGCGTTTAGACCAGAGATGATCCATAAAGGCTCGTCACACATCCATCAAAACAATCTGATCATAAAAATTGCTACTGATTATCCATGAAGACGAGTCTAAAAAATTAATAATATTTATACGTCGCATGTTCATGTCTACGAGTGAGCGATTTTTTTTTATTATTATAATGTAATTGAATAATGAATTATGTTTCTCACTGATGGTAGGGAAATGCTGGACGTTAGGATTAATCCAGTGATTGAAAGTGTACTTGTAATATTTTTAAAATCCTCATAAAATTATTGAAATCTTCCCCCACCAGTCCCCACATTTTACATGAATCTAGAAACAATCATTGATTCGGCTGAATTATTTTCTCTGTTGATCAAATAAATTATTCAAATAAAACTAAAACCGGAGATTAATAAATCTGCATTTTGCCAATCGCTGTGATTTGCTTAGAATATTTATCTTGTTGAAAAAAAAATCAGTCAGATTGTTACTAAAATCTGTGTCACCTAGCCACTAACATAAGAATAGATAAATAGAAGTGGAAAACTGCAGCGTGAGATGTAAAAATGAATGAAATCAACTGAACAAAAATTGTTGCAATATACCCAGAATAATCCAACAACAAATATTTGAATTTTTCTCCCAACACTTACTCCTTCAAAATTCATATTTATTTTTATATGAGAAATTAGCTGTAGTTAGTCCTTGAGAATGGCTTGTGTTAATAAACAAATGATAAATTCATACTTTGTTGCATCACTTTTATTATAAATACATTATATACAACTTTTCACCACTCGATTATGGCAAATACAAAAGTGCCTGTCATCTCCGCAAAATGAAAAAATAAACCAAAAACTTAAATCATGTTTATTGTCACCCTATCAATGTAATTATCCCAATTTTCCTAATGAAAAATCATAATTAACTACAAGTATATTCCATATGCACCTCAATGTATTCATTGTATCTACTGTGGACTTCACTCGGATGTTATGCATTATTTTTCAAAATAATCAATGATAAATACACATATCACATTTCTTCAATTATGTTTATCAATCCAAGAGCAGCAAAAAATCTCCATCTGTTTCACTTCAATTCACTGGAATAAGTACCTTTATCATGACCAACTATAATGAATTAATTACGATTAATTCATTAATCAATTCTCAAGTGAAGTTCCGGTTTACGAAAAAAAATAACTATTATTTTTCCGTCTTCCAGCTGTCAAAAGGCACTTTCTTAGTATTACTTAAGTATTCATTCGCCCAACTAATCTTTTAATCTTACAAAAAAAAACAGCTAATATTTTTTTTTACAATAAAAAGAAAGGACCATTCCCTCATGTTTTTGCCATACATTTCGATGGTCAGAGAACTCCCAGTCTCTGTATTTACACATTTCCCCAGCAATTTACACAGCGCGAAAGGATTTCCGAGATTATAAATAATAATTTGGCTTACCCCACCATTCATTAGTGATAATTAATGACGAATGGAATGGTAATTCACAATAATTGTTTAGAAATCATCTAACAACTCCACAATATACAGAGAAGCAAAATCTTCTCGATTACCTCAAAGAACTTTCCACTAGTGAGTAATTAATTAATCATCTCTGGCTGTTCGTCTGGCGAAATATCCCCCCCAATTCCAATATCTTCCACGAAACAAACTAATTATGCAAAATAAATACTTCACCATTGAAAAATTCTTTCCGAAGTTTGCAATGTCCCGTTCAATCGAATTTCCATAAATCATTTTGGAAAATTATTCCTGAAATTTGCAATACGCCTCGCAATTAAATATCCATAAATTTCAAAAACAATTTCCCCATAACTTCAATTAATTAATTAACTTCCATACAATTTTATTATATGAAAATGACCATTATCAAAAAAAAATCTTTTCTTCAAAAAAGAGAATGGCCTTCCAATTACTTATACATCTCATCAATGAGCTCTTGATATTGCTTCAGAACAATATTCCTCTTAAGCTTGAGCGTGGGTCCAAGCTCACCAGTGGGAATAGAAAAATCATGAGGAAGAATCCTGAATTTCTGTACCTTCTGTGCATTGCTGGTGGCCTGAAGATTCATCCTGTCCATGGCCTTCTCAATCTCGTTATAAATAGCAGGATCCTGTGTGCGAATTATTTCCGAGACAGTGGTAGCTTTGCTCCCGACAGATTTCGCCCACGATTTTGTCGATGGAAAAAGAGTATCGAGTGGTCCCCCAGTGTCTGGATCCATATTAGTCTTGAGAGTCACAAGAATCGTAAGAAATTTCTTCATATCGCCAACGAGCATAGCATTGCTGAGCGCAGGTAATTCCTTAAGAAGTGCCTCTTCAATCGGAACCGGAGGAATATTTTCACCACCAGCAGTGATTATCAGTTCCTTGATCCTCCCAGTGACATAAAGGTACCCCTGACCATCGATTCTTCCCAAATCTCCACTGTGGAGCCAATTATCATCATCCTTCGCCTCTCTCGTCTTCTCTGGCTCCCCCAGGTACCCCATAAAAACGTGACGTCCCCTCATGCAGATTTCTCCCTCACCTGTATTATCAGGATTATCCAATTTCGTTTTAAATGTCTTCAGCGTCTTTCCAACACTTCCCAATTTGTACTGATCAGTGACACAGAGTGAGTGAGCACCAGCACACTCTGACATGCCATATGCATCCATCACCGGAATATCGAGGCTCATGAAATACTTTTTTATCTCAATACTGAGTGGTGCAGCTGCTGTCACCGTCATTCTACACCTGTCCAGACCCAGGGTGGCCTTGACTTTGTTGAATACCAACCACTTGGCAATCAAATAGCCCCAGCTCTTATAATCCACTCCGTTCATCTTATTCATATTGTAGTAGAGGCCCTGATTTTTCGCCCACGTCGCTATCCACGTCTTAATTGGCCCATTATTACGCGCAACAATCATCATTTTCTCGTAGATCTTCTCCCAGACTCTTGGAACACCCAGGAAGGCCGTTGGTCGGGCATACGCCAGAGTCTCCACCAGACTGCCTTTCAAAGCATTTTTATCAGCGAAATAAACTGTCGCTCCCATCCACATACTCGTAAATATCTCGATTACCTGTGCAGCCACATGGGACAGAGGCAAATAGCTAACGACATTTTCAATTCCATCGTAGGGTGGCAAAGCTTGTTTGATAGTCATACCGTCGTAAATAAGATTATCATGGCTTAGCATCACCGCTTTAGGACGACCGACAGTCCCCGATGTATAAACAAGAGTGCAACACTCATTAATTCCAATAGACCTCAGGACTCCCTCGAGTCTGTCATCAGACTCGGATTTACCGATCTCAAGGAGCTCATCCCAACTCAGTACATTCTTCTCCTTGGGTACTCCCTCAAATTGAACAATAGCTTTCAAGTGCGGCAAGTTGTGCTTGATGCTCAGTATTTTCTCTAGCTGTTTGTGATCCTCAACGAGAATAATATTAGCACGACTGTGGCTGGCGCAGTACTGGCAAGCATCTGGAGAATTGGTGGTGTAAATTCCAGCAGCCAAACCACCAGCGTAAATAGCAGCCAAATCACCGATAAACCACTGGGGGCAATTGAATCCCACAATTGCAACGCTGTGGTATCTCTCCAATCCTAATTTCAAAAACGCCTTGGCCACGGTTCTCACGTCTCTCTCGTAATCCCTGTATGTCCACGTCTCACGTGATCCGTTTACTCCAACTCGGGCGATTAGTGCTGGACGATCTGGGTAGTGCTTAGCTACTCTCATCAGAAGTCCTGGGACTGATAATGGAACCACTGGACCATCCTCGGGATTTGCTTTTATTCTCACTCGTCCGTTCGCCTCGTGGGTCGTGTCAACGTCTGCTCGGAGGATCTGATTAGGTCCTGAAATATTTTAATAAAACAAATGAAATATCATTCCATCAATTTGCATTCATTATTTCAGATTGATGACGATTATTTGGCTTATTTCAATTAATTGTATGTTATTTAACTTTTGGAAATAATTCAGGAATTTACCTTCTCTTCCTGTAGGACTTGCTGGACAGTATCCATCGATTCCTCCTTCGGGTGGCACCTGAAAGCAGAAATTTTACTTATTTTAGAGAACAACTTCATTAAAGTCGTTGAACCTTTGTCAAAATTACTCATTCCGGTTCTTTTTTAGTAAGTGGTTGTAAAATTATTATTGTTGTAACAATGTCCAGTTGTAGTAATGAATTATAAATTTTTAGTTTCACCTTTTCGTCTGGAGCGAACCCGTTGAGGAGTCCGTTCGACAGGGGCTGCACCGCTGACATGTTATCTGCAAAAAAAGTAAATGAAAATGGTCTTATCACTCTTTATGATGATTATCTCACGTACAATCATTCATAATAAAAATATCTCGAGGATGGTAATTATAATTACTGAATAGATTAAAGCAGTCGCAACGCCATCATGAGAAAAAATTGCATGAATTAATGACGACGCAAGGGAATAATAATCCTTTTCTTTACTTTCGCAAAGATTCATGAATTTTTTTCAAAAATTGAAACGATAATTTTTTTTACTGTTTATCATCACGAGGACGCACGAAATCAATCGATAATATTCAGAGGTCATTAATGAGGGCATTAATGATGATTAAATTTTGCAACATCTTCAACATTTTCAAAATATCTCTGCATGGAAAACAAGTAATTCAATAATTCTGAAGTCCAGGAAATCGATCTTAAATCATTTAAAACCAGTTCTGGGTATTAAAATCATTATTCACCGATTATTACTATTAATTAATAACAATATTTCATGGATTTTAATGTTTTTAATTAGAGAAATAGACATTTTTCAATAAATGAAATTAAAAAAATCGTCATTTGAGTGCAGATGACGAGAATGACTCAATTTTCATTAACAATAAATAATGCCGTAATGTTTAAAAAAAAATGTGTTATTTTGAAGCTGCACCTGGCCGAATCCGTCCTGAGGACCGATCAAAACGCATTTCTCACAAATATCGAAATTCACGAAAACGGGAGTCCCGATCATTGATCCCCCGTTTTTCAACAATTGGAAAAAGACACTAATAATTGAAGCGTAAATATTCCGTAGCATTCCAACGGCTTCCACCGGAACATCGCACACCCACGATTGAATTTCCTCACCGGTAAAATGAAATAATAATTTTGAAATAAACCCTGGGACAGAGTCACCCCCACAGAAATCATCCCCAATACCTTTGTACAACAGGATCACCATTGCAACTGATAATTCTTGCAATTGACAACTGTTAAACGTGCGACAGGAGAGCTCTGATGGCTTTGGAATAATATGCAGTCGACAGAGGGTTGTCCCTACAGAAATCAATAGAGCTCGAGGGAAATATCACCCCACTTTCTGGCGGCAAATTCAAGCACCACCTCCGGGGGGTGCCAAACCCATGAGTACCTGAGTTAGTCAACTCACGCGCATCACCAGATTTCACGATATAACGAATGTCTGAAGCGCCAAATGTCGTACCTTTGACTGTCTCGCGAATATTGAATTATTCACGAGACTAAGGCAAGGCCCATCATTCAAGCCAATTCAAGTGAAAACCTCAATTGAAAAGAAATTTATCAAAAATTTACCTTTTCACGTGAATAATTGACTCGATTGACTAATTGACAGAAGCCAATTGAATCATTCAAATCAATCATTGAAGTGGAAAAAATTCTCTTGGTGGAAAATTTTTCATAGATTTGTTTGTTGTTAAAATAAATTCAATGATTTGTCAGTTAAAAATAAATTACACGTCCGAAGAATCATTTACCGAATTATTATAAAGCAGTAATCAATTTCGTTCGTCTTGTTTTAATTGGAAACAATTATTGAATGTTTCGAACTCGATGAAATCTCGAAATCGTTATCATAGGATTGATTTAATTTGAATGCGTATTAATTCAGACATTCATGTTTTCAAAACAATTTAATCAACAAATTCGATAAATTCAATATTAGTAAATGATGAAAAAATCTGCAATAAATTAACCCACGGCGTGATTTTCATGTTTTATTTATGATTTATTTCATCCGAACGCTTCTTTAACTTCATTATGCAACTCGTCTCCAACAACCGACAACTGATTGTGTATAATTAAAAAAAAATGTTGGACTCGGCGTTTTCAATGGTAGAGTGAATCGAAGGAGAAACAATTCGAGAGAAAAAATAATAATGAAGAATCTAATGACAGGTATTTTCTGGACTCATTGATAGTCTCATTTTTTTCATATTTGCAACTATTAATCAAGGAAACGCATAACACAAGTTGTCAGATAAATCTCCATGATTCATAGAGATAAATCGTGGGTTGGGATTGGAGGAAAAAAGGGGAATTTTTATTAGGGGAAATTGAGGAGCGAGGGGAGGATTTTTGCTCATATCTATTCATTCTTTCGGGTTTTCATGTTATCATTGACTTTATTATTTGGTGAAGTGGGTGGATTTCCAAGTGATGCAATAAGTTTGACTTTGGGATCCTTGGAAGTTGGTAAACAAAATGGTAATTGATCTTCAATAAAAAATGAGGATGCGTATGATCATCAGGTACGAGATCTCAAGGCAGTGAAAAAAAATCTGGGGCAGAAGAAAAGCGGAAAATTTGTACTTCGATGAATAAACACTTCGCGAGAAGCTCGATGAATTTCAATGGAAATGGAAGTATTCTGACCTCTTGAATAATTGAATATTCAATCGACATTCCGGAAAGCAGAAGTTTTTTTAATGATTAAGATAACAATTTCGCGGTGTTGTCAAAATATTGATGCTAAAACATTATCTCATTGGTCTATCCATTCGTACGCTAATTTTTTTACAATTCTCTTGGCAAAAATTGGAAGATGATTTGTTTTTTTTTGGATTTGAACATGAATTTTTCTAGAATTTGGTAGAAATTCTTAAACTATTGGAATACATGTTTATCCTATTGAATTACATTAAACGAAAAAATCAATTCAGTTAACAATTCCACGACTTATCACCGCATTTGAAAATCGAACGGAAAATCAATGCACCTGTTGCCCTAGAGGTCTCCAAAATATCTACCTTTCACAAACAGTCGTATAATTCAAATAATCGACGGCAATGGCATCACAAAATGAATGAGAAGTGTTGTCGAACCTAGGATTGTACTTTAACCATAGAATTCCTAACACTCGTGCCAGGAGATTATCCACAAACCAGTGTATTTCCAATCAAAAATACTTTAGCTCACCTGTAGAAATAAAACTGCGAGCCTCCGTCGTCTTAAAATTCCCCAAAAGTCCTCCACAGTGTAATAATTAAGAATAAATATTAAATAAATTTTTCCATCGATAAATGTTGAGGAGCTCAAGAGTGACTTTCATAATGTTAACCCTCCACCTGTTGTTTCCATACAAGTAACTTCCGTCGCAAATTTAATTCAATTTTCAATACTACTTATGATTTTTGAATGGCAAAAATGAAAAATAGTTAACAAAATCCGTCAGTTATCAAAACCCTCAACAATGAAAATAATAAAACCATCCCAGCATTACAATAACAATTGGAAAAACCGCGGATTCACAGTTCTATATCACCACAAATTAATCGATACCTGTACACTCCACATTTAAAACTCAATAACTAACTTCAAGACCTCTAATTTCCATCGTATGTCAATTGAAGTCTACATATCCATTACACAAGGTCAACACACTAAAGAAATAGAACATAAATAATTGGTTAAAACGTCTTCCCATGGGAATCGATAAGAATTGCTAAATACTCACAATAATTACTCCCAATTATTGACACGGCAAGATTACTAACGACTGGTTTTTAGTCAGTTGTCATTTTTTTTATTTTGTGCATTTTCTTCTTCGGTTATTTTGAGTCATTAATTACTTTTATTTGGTATGTGTCGAAAAATCTCTACGAACTCACGATTTCCGGTTTTCTATACTTTTTTTTTTCTCCTAGTAGTAGATGGTACCGTGTGGCCTGACTAAACACGTGGTTCACATATTCCACGTTCAACAGTGTAACGTAATTTTATGGAGTGATACCGCATCCTCAATTGAGACGAAAAATTCAATGGGAACTTAGAACGCTACAATAGCGTAGTGGTAAGGGAGAGAATTGACAATTTGTCAGCTCGGGTTCGATTCCCAGTTGAATATTAACACATTTTTCTCTCATTCACAATATCCCCATACTAAAATGAACTCTAATAATTTCTCGAAATTCAGAAAAAAAGCGGCTCGATGGGTCATTCGAAGAATTATCGGGTAAAGAATAGACAATTAATGGGAGAAAAATTCAGGTCGATGGGTGAATAGGTCAATTTAAAGGGTGAAAATGACAATTAATGGGTATAAAACGTGTATGAAATGGTGAAGTTAATGAAAATCGGTGGGACTCACTCACCAAATAATTCTGGAATATCTGTCCTCGTAAGTTTTCACTTGGCGGTAGTAAAAATACTTGTCCAACTAGCGGTATTTACGGGACAATACCAAGGAACGGACTGCACTGAACTCGTGCTCTTGAACCAGTGAAACATCACCCCACTTGTATTCCACACACCACCGTTGTTTAATGCCACGATGGCACACGTTATTTATGCTTAAACAGCAAAAAATTCGATGTTTGCAGCATTCGAGAGGGAGATTGGGGCGTTTGTATCCCTTCTACAATTGGTGTATCTCTTAGGATTTTACCTGGACTCCCACCACTGGACCCAGGATGAGTCCCACTCTTTTATCATAGATGAACTGGGTAATTTAAACGCCTTCCAAGTCATCCTCACCGGCACTCATAAGCTCGTTTACATTGTTATCACTTTTTGAAAAATAATCATTTGCGTACAGCGTACATGTTGTACATTTGTTTAGCGGAAAATTATGTGCCGATTTAATGAATTTTTATTTGCTGTTTTTCAATACTGGGACAAATCTACAATTATACCAGATTTTTTTTTTTGGAACCTTGATTTTATCCACGCAATCGGGTTTTTTATCTTTTACAACACCTCCTCTTGATGCGGCATTTTTTAATTGGATAATTTGAGGGTTTCTTTGATCTGTGTTGATTGGAAAATGTTATAATTACATTCAGGATTATTTACCGATTTAATAAATTATTGTAAATTTTAGAAAGAGATTTTTTTAAGTATCTATTGGGGTAAAAAATTACTGGTAGTTTCATTTTGACAATTATGCTCGGTTTTTCAGGAGAAAAGAGAAGTGTTTTTGAAATGTTCGGAAATTTTTTGAATTGCAGGAGAATTTTAGTCCCAGTCTGATAAGAAAATTATTCAAAGAAAAGTGTCATTTTCCAAGGAAATAGCGACTCTGAAAATTGAACAAACATTGATAAAATAATAGTGTTGCATAAAAATACGGAAAATTCAAAAAAACTTTTTCCCACATGCGCACCTCGATGCACTCGCTACAAAGTCGTGAAAAGTTGAAAGTAATTGCTAGGCCTTCCCTAACGTAATTCCTCAGTATTACACATTTTTTTGTTAAAAAAAATTACAAATCATGCCAGGTACGCCAATTAACCCCGAGGAGGCTCATCAAATCGATAAATTACACATCTCTAGGCCAGATGACAAGGACAACACCGAATACAAAACAAATGTGCGCGAACTAACTCAGACAGACAAGTTGAACAAAAAATTACTGGAATCAGTCCTTCAACGAATGAGTAAAACTGGTAATTTTGATACATTCGCCGATTGTCACGAGACTGATAAAGACGACGATAAGATTGACTTCAAATAATCATTCGAAATGATCTGAAACTCTAGGAGAGTGAAAAGAATCAAGTGTGAGGTTAGGTATTCTGTAATTCATCGCAACAAAAAAATCAGAAATTCTGTTATAGATTAAATAAACAATAGAACATTCCTTGCGAAAAATTGAACATCAGAATCGTTGAATTATCAACAATACTATTATAATTATTCATTTATAATCTACAATTGTCTTCGCACGTTCTCCGAAAAGAGAAATGGCGGGAAATGCTAGCCTGAAGGAAAATCTCCACGAATAATTATTCCCAGAAAAGAAAAATTAATTAGACACCCGTTATTATTCTAACAACAAATCTCCAATTACTGAATAATTAATAATAATACTACAAAAATCAGAGGACGCAAACGACAGACGATCAAAAACGGTGGAAAAATCGAAATCGGATAAATTTTTTTGAAGAAAAACTCACGAAGATTCTCTCCTACATATAAAAAATAAATCTACGAATAAAATAATATAACAAATAAAAAAATCCTACTTAAAATTAGAAAAACGATTTCAATCCATAAAGATTTTTTTAATCCTGTAAATAAATTCTCTAAATCATAAAAATCGGACTAAAAACCCCCCAAATCATCGAAATCCTCCAGAATGTCTGACCTATCCGACGGAGAGACTTCCAGGATGTCTCTTTCGGATCCAGACGTCCCAGGAAATCCTGAGGAAGCTGTCGGAGAAGCCCCAGATGAGGCGAGAGAAAACTCAGGCGAGGATGAAGAAAAGCGCAGAATTGACCCCTCGGCCTCGAAGAAGAAGATAATCCGTCGAGAGATTCCAAAGTTGAATCCAGCCCGGCTGACGGGCCCCAAAGGTGTGGCAACGATCGAAAAGTACTTCGAGGGTTTTAAATTCAAGGGAAAGGGCCACGAGAAGATCGACCTGGACCGAGTGATGAAACGACTGGAGCACTGGGCGCACCGTCTCTTCCCAAAATATCAATTCGATGATTTTCTGGAGAGGGTAGAGGCCTTAGGGCCCAAGAGGGAGATCCAGACGCACTTGAAAAAGTACCGGATGGATATGCTGATAGGTGAGGATCACGTGACGGTGGATCACGAGGAGGAGGAAGGGGAGAGAGAGAAGTCTCCGGAGCCTGAGGATGAGTTTGATAAATTAATTGCTGAACAAATTGAGAAGACGAGGCAAAGCAGTCAGGGGATGACTCCTGGGGGGATTAGAGTTCCTCAGGCCCCTCGGCAACAGGATGACGAGGTCAAAAGGAGGATGGAGGAGAACAGGAAGATTGCTCTGGAGAGACGACAGGCTAGGATGAGGGAGAGGGAGGGGAATTCTTTGGGAACTGGAGAGAATGCAGTGCATGGAGATCTTGGAGGGTCTCAGAAGACTGGGGAAGAAGGAGAGGTTCAGGGGAGACAGGAGGTTCTGGAGGATCCTGGAGCTCAGGTGGTGATGGAAACCCATGGAGAGATCGATGAGGAGGAGGAGATAAAGAAGAGGATTGAGAGAAACAGGCAGGCGGCTTTAGAGAGGAGACAGGCAAGGATGAAAGAGACCTCATCCTCATCCTCCCAGAGACAGGAGGTATTCAAGGACTACGGGGGAAACCGATCCTCCGGGGTCTCTGGAGGTTCAGGGGATTCAGGGCCTCTTCCAGGAGAAGATAAGGCAGGGGACTGGCAACAGATTAATGTTCTGAGTGGAGAGCACGTCGAAAATGATAATCATGGGACTGGGGTGGAGGTTGAGGGCGATGTCGATGGAATGGACATAGGGGAGGAGCTTGACACCTTCAGGGGAGAAAAATTGGATATCGAGGAGAGCAATGAGAGTAAAATGGACGTAGAGGAGAAGCCTGAGCCCTCCACAGAGGAGAGGAACCTCGAGTTCTCTGGTGTGTCCAACGTTTCACATTCTGGAGTCAAGACGAATGCCTCGCGGAAGCTTTTAACCGATGAGGAGCTCGACCAGGAAATCGGAGCTGCTGTCGACAAGTTCATCAAGGGGAATCGTACCTCCCTTCAATAATTTCTATTAATTCAATTCTTTGTGATTAATTCTTCTCGAAGAAACTTTTTATAAATAAACATTTTTACGACAGGAAATTTCTGGTTGTTGATTGATTAGAGAATGACATGTTAATTTATTCTATTGATTTATTGCGAGGGAAATTGATTTAGGGAATTACGCTCGACGCTTTTGGGTGCTTATGTAGAGAACATTGTTCCCTCTGATGAAGGCATCTCCGTATTTGTTCTTCAGCTGGCCATTCACGTACTCCTCCGTCTGCTCCAGGGCAATGTTCATGTAGCCATCGAGACAAGCCAGGACACCTAGTAATTGTGCATCAACTTTATCGTTCAATTCTCTTTATCCCGATGCACTGAATGTCAAAAAAATTAATTCATTGGGTTTACCTCGATAATCGACTCCACTATTTAGCTTTACGACCACTGGACGTCCATGAATTTGTTGGATGAATTGAGATAGCGCTTCCTTTCTACTCATTTTTATTCCTGAAATCAATTGTTGAGAGGATATTTCACTGTTTTGTTGTTGTTTTTACAGACCACCGGCTTTGTTTGAATTTTCGAGGTTAGGACTCCCTGGAATCCGCAGGCAAAGTTATATTCGAAAGTTTAAAAAGAAATTAATAAATTAATTGAAAGGAATTAACATGTTACTTACGTTATTATTAATCTCGAGTTTTTCAAGGGCGAATCCTTGGAAAAATGATTTTTGTAGTCAGATATTCAATGACAACAATATTTTGGTTGAGAACACCTTTTTCAGTGGTGTTCAATCTCTTGTAGATTGTATAAATAAATTTGAATAATTAACCAAATTGACTTCAGTCGGAAAAAGGTGAGAATCACTAGTCGACACGGGGAAAATCTCAGAACCCAAGATAGCGAGCGAAATTATTCATAGGACTTTTTTTTTGTAGAATTACATTTTTGCTATAAAAAAAAGGTACTTATAAAAATTTCATGATTTTCTTTAGATCCAGAGATATTTCCTGTAAACCTCTCCGCTATACATTTTTTTCAATAGAGTTGAAATTAAGTACACAAGTTAAAAAAAATTATATCGAGACCAGAAATTCCACATTTATTACCATATTTACCGCGTAAATACATACATTGAAACGAGACTTCACTGAAGCATAAACATTTACACAAGTGCTACCAATAAATCAGACTTTTATCCAAGAAAGCGTTAGAAATAAATTCATTTTCTTCCAATTTCGCATCGCAAAAATACTAAGCACTCATAATTAAGTATTACTGAATCCTTGTAGAATTAAATGAGAATTGAGTGAACTCGCCGGACTTTTGCGGCATGAATATTATACTAAATTTAATGGGTTTACGTCAATTCCCTCATTGACGAGGCCTAGACTGGCATTTTGCTACGAAATTCCTGGAAAATATTGAAAAGCCAAATTAAAATCACAGTAATTTCATTATCAACGAAAGACCTTATTACTGAATTTCATTATTACATACTCAATTATTTTTGGTAAAGGTTCATATCGACATATGTATTTATGGCCTAGTCCCAATGATCCATTTATCCTAATCATTGTCACCTGATTCGAGTCATTTTTGTGTAATCTCAGTCCTTCTTGATACAACTAAAAGAAAGAGAAGAGAAATCCACACATTCAATTAAAATCAGAAATAATTCCAGAAACCTTACAAAATTTGCATCAACCATCAATTAAAGGATAAATTATGAGAGTACCTTTTCTCCCAGTGAGATGGGAATTACGATGTCATCCTCGGCATGGAGAATCATCACAGGGCACTTTATGTCCCCAATGTGTTTATCAGACTCGAATCTTAAACCATTTCCATAGAATGGCTGGACAATTACCCAGTGGAACCAGGGAAGATGCTTAAATATTTGAGAGAAGGGGTGATAGCTCAATTCATCGGCCATGTTGTTGAAGGGAGACTCCAGGAAAAGTCCTGTCGGTTGGAGATTATCGCCTGCGAGGAGTGCCAGGGAATGACTCGAGACTCTAATAAAGAATAATTCATCATCCTCTCTGAATTGAGAAACAAACCGATTTCACGGTTAGCTATACCCATTAAATATTAAAAAATGAAAATAATTTGATTACCCAGTCCCTAATGAGTGCCCCCATACGAACACTGGGACTGTCCCATTGACTTTCTCCATCAGCCACTGGAGCACAAATTTACTGTCCTTGACGACTCCCTCCTCTGACAGCTCAGCAGGATCACTGTCCCCATAGTTTCTGTAGTCAAAAGCAATGACCTGATAATCAAGTTCCTGAAATACTTTGTACAACTCAACCCTGTGACTGCTGGCTCGATTTCCACTGTTCCCATGCATGTACAAAAATACGGGCCTCTTCGGGTTCCTCAGTGCACCATTGAACTCCTCCTCTGACCATTTTACAGACTCATTCACGAGGGATTTTGGGAGAATCTGCCAAGCCCCTATTTTAACGCTCTCGTTGGTGCTCAAGTAGAAATTACGTGCCCCCTGGAGTCCCACGCTCTCTGGTTTGTCGAAGTCTACGGATGGGGGCCAATGTACTGCAACAATTTTCAAGATAAAAAAACTAATCGATATCTCTCTCAAGCTGATAACGAAGTGCAAAAGATAATTAATTAAATACTGCCGAACGGATGAATTGATTTAATTAGTATTAACAAGGGAGCATTGAATATTAATAATACAACAAACTCTTGGGTAAAAGTTGAGACTCACCAAAGTTTAAGAAGAGTATTTTACGTTGAAAGCCATACGAGTAGTGAAAAATCAGTGGACAAAGACCGAACACTATGAGGTACGTCACGATAATCACCTTGGCAGTCCACAGGATGACTCTGCGATAGAAGATTACAACATTGCATAAAACGTCATGATTCGGGATGCATTCAGTTCCAAAGTGCAATGAAAAGCGAACAGCAGCAACCTCACGCATGGAAAAAAATACTAGAAAAACCCAGCGTTTAACAATTCTTGCACGAACTCTCGTGAATCCCTATCAATATTCTATTTTTAAATTCTCTTCACTTTGTATATAATTTCTACTGAAAATTACGTTACAGCTTTTATTGGAAAATGAATTTCCTCCGCCTTTCATTGATCTTTCATGAATCTCCCTTTTCATTGAAAAATGAATTTAACTCCTCTTTGATTCAGCCGCCACATTAGAAATATAAATAAATAAATGAAACGTGTGAATAGCATGAGAGCTCAGGGTGCAGAATTAAACAGCAGAAATGAATCTGAATGTTCAGCAAAAATTGACTGAAAATTATGAAACAAGGGCATACATTTTTCAGAGTAGCAATATATGTTACATGAAACTCAGAAGTTTTCTCTTGACATGCACTGAGTAACGAATCCACCAATTCCACGAAAAATAAAAAACTTACGCTCCGGTATGCCACATGTCAAGAGCGATGAGTGGCACCGAACCAGCAATGAAGAGGTATTTCGACTGCATTGTTAGTAATTTAATTACTGTCAATAAAACACTGATCACTCGTTTTGTAATTAGTTAGCTATGTTAATTGACTCGTTCCAATCATGACAGAAGTTAAATTCAGCAGGAGCTATTCTCTACCAGACAGACAAAACCTGAAGACAGAAAAAAAATCGATCAACTGAAAGGACAGTGTTGGCGAAAGAACAGCTGGAGTGTGAATCAACTCTGAGCGTTTTGTGCTTTTGTTATTTAGTTGGATGCATGAATCACCGATTGTCGAACCCAGGGAGGGATTTTTCGAAGGGTCGACGTTGAATGTTAACAATGCAACTAGGGAAATCAGTTTATTTACGAATTACTCAGGCCTTAATTGATAATGTAACATGAAGAATATTCATTATCTCTCGTTAAATACGAATTTATCTGAAAAACTATTGGTTTTAGGAAGAAATATCCGAAAACCTTTCCTACAAGAAATTTAATCAGCTACAAAAAAGTTCTTCAGTACTTGACCCTTGGATCGATAGTTTTCAACGTAGATCGATCAATAAAAAAGTTTTAATTGATTGTTGACTCGATCAATTAATTTAACGGAATATAAAAGATGTTATCAGTGCAGTGGAATGTTAATTTGATGTCAAGGTCAGGCGATTACCCTCAGGACATTTTGAATGTCAAGGTCTTGTGGTAACGCGTAAATATCTCAAAACAATTGACCAAAATCATGACAACAGCCCAAAACAGACTGTATTACTCTAAAATCGAATACAATTGTAAACAAAATCGAATAATCAGAAACAAATAAATAAAACTACATGCAGAATGCAGTCTTAATTTTCGACTAACCCTTCTCACCAAAAATTAATCACCGTTTTTTTTTACCTTTTGATGAATCCTTTCTTAAACATCCAATAAACCATTTTCGACCACAAAACGCTCAAGTTAGATGAGATAAATGAAAAAATGAATTATTTATATAATTTTCGGGTTCTCACAGATCATGACTGTGAGACTAAACTGAAGGTATTGAAAGTCCCAAATTTGTCTTGGCACTGACGAGAGTCCGGGATTTCACTATCTCTCATAAAATTTAAATTAAATGTTTTCTGATAAATATACTTGGAGCGGCAGATGATTTTTTATCCTTTTCTATCCATGCAATTTCTCGACCAGGTGAAGGACGTTGGAGAAAATTAAATTAGTTGTCAATTATCGAGGGGGCGGTGGCGACATCAGGGGCACCAACCGTTAACAATTGATTATCGATTTTCACGAGTCGATGATTCCAGGTTTCATCAATTTTTCACTCCTTTCGATAAAAATTATGAATCAACAATTCGTGGAAATTTTTTTGAGGTTTTCTGAAATGTTCCACCTGGGGAAGCTCCCGAGAGAGTTCGCGATTATCGCGGGTAATTCAAACGTTTAAGCAGGAAAAAAATTTGGTAAATACAAATGTGAATCAACAAATTGATTCATATACCTTCGTCAGTTTTATTAGTATTTAATATTTCGTCCAATTAAATTTTTATAAAAAATATGTCCTCTGGTTTATGCAATTTTCAAATGTATGATTTGAAAAAATGCGCGGGAGATAATGCATCCAAGATGGCGATGGGCACTAAACGAAGTGTTTAAAGTTTATTATTGTTCATTTATTTTAATTAGAGTGCATAACAAGTTGAAGAATGAATTCTTCACACGAGCAAAACGTTTTTCGCGTGAAGAATTCGTGGAACGGGAATTTCCCGAGCTTTCGGAGGCCAGAGGTCATCGGCTACTGGAGTGTCAATGGATCGAGAGATGTTTCCTACGATTCATCTCAACTGCAATATTATTCACCTCCAAAAACCACAGAAGTCAGATTCGATTTGAATCGAGGGATCAATTCAGTCCTGCGAAAACCTGAGGACCTCGATGAGAGAATTGACCATCTCTTGCAGTGGATCGGAAAGAATTCTGAAAAAATCAGAGCTAACCCAACGACAAAAAGATGGTGATGATTCATTGAATATTTAATTATGAAAAAATCACAATATCTACATTTATTAATTATCAAAAAAAAAGGAGACAAAAATGCATTTGACAAGGATAATTATTTCGCAAAAATCTTTTCTTCGTAATCATGTATTTTTTTATTCTTGATTGGCTGAGAAGTGCAGGCTGCAGCCAAATTTCATTTCCTATCGCGGTTTGCTGACGAAAATCATGAAAACCCCCTATGATATGAGAGAGGGCTGGATAATCTGTGCTTCTAAATGGAGGGGAAGTATCTACCTCTGCCATTTTGATACAGAGGCTGATAAAGAGGATAAGGCTAATATAACACCCAGGCAAATGGCCATGTGCTCCTGGGGATTCAAATTTGAGCAGTACATCCTAACAGGTGCTCTAACAAAAAAATATATTTCTCTACATTAATTGATTGAAATAATTTGATTTTCCACAAGAATTCCATTGAATAAAACTTACTTTCAAGAACGGAGGATACAAATTGTTCTCATGGCGATTTTTTCGTTGAAGAGGTGCCAGGTGGATCCCCAGATCCTTTGAAACCTGTGAACGAGTGCGAGGAATTCGATTGTGTGTTTCAAACTCGCCTGAGGGAACATGAACTTCTCTACGGGGGCGAAATGGACGGGGTATGCTCTGATGAGAGATTGCGAGACCCTCTACCCCTGGAAAAACTCAAATTCGTGGAACTCAAGACTAGCAGAATCCTAGAGAACGACCGCCAGTGGATGAACATGCAGAGGCACAAATTTCTCAAGTGGTGGTGCCAGAGTTTTCTCGTTGGAATTGAAGACATTCTCTGTGGATTCAGGGATGATTCCGGGATTATTAGACAATTGGAGAACTATAAAGTATCTGATATAGCACGGAATAGTCAGGTAAGGGATGGACACGAGTTAAATTGAATAATCGAATTAAATTTTCATTATTTTATTCTAGAAATATTGGAAAGCTGCTGCAGCAATGAACTTTTGTGATAATTTTCTACGGCATGTTGCTAGTACCGTGAGGAATGATTGTGACAGGACGGTTTATAAATTTGAGAGAATCCCAAACGGCGATATTTATCTGACTGAAGTCCCCCCAACTTCGGATTATGCGTTCCTGCCTCCTTGGTTCAGGGCAATCCGCTGAATGTGCACAGACTGAGTGAAAATGCTAATTCTATTTTGAATACATGCTTTCGTTGTTATTTCAAAGTGTGAATGGCGTTTGTCGTGATTTGTATCTAATGTATCTAAAATAATAAAAAATCCATTCAACGGTAAAAATAAGAGACGCAACGATCACTCCACTGATCAGAATAATCAATATCGGTGCAACTCCTCGTAAATTCGCCGACAAAAGAACTGGTTCTGGCGTATACTCGACCACAATGTATATATTTTCCAATCTCTGCAGTATCCCATTTTGTTTAAATCGCTGAAGGCTTGAACCAATTACATTACATTTTATTCATTTCTCACTTAACAATCTGCGTAAAAAGCTGTGATTTTCAGAGACTTCATTTTTAAAAAATCCCAGTCTTTGAAAATCCAAACTTCTTTTCATCTTTGGCTTGAAAGTGCAATGCAACGTACTAGTAGTTGATAGCATGTGTAAATTCACTTCCACGTGGCGTGATAATTCCTGATAATTGAACATATCCTGTTTTAATTGAATGCATTTCACAGGGCATCTCGCGTTCTGGGTATCTCATCGAGGTCGCATAGTGAGCGTAGAAAGCTACTTGTTCCTCGCAGATCTGCAGTTAAATTACATAAATTATTAAAAAATTATGTCTGATAATTTTGATGAAGATTCGTCACGTTACTGTTAAAAGTAGTGATCATTGTTTAATGACATACCTGATGAAATCCTTCCACGTAACTCCAAGGCAACAGTGCCTTAGGTATCAGTAATTTTGACATTTGTTGTAGGACCGGATCCTCCGAAAACTATTCAGAATGGAAATATTTCAGGAGTAACGAGAGACATTAGAAAAAATAATTGTTTACCTTCAGTAAATCATATTCTTCACTATCATCTACAGCTATCAATCCATAGGTACCAGCTTGAGCAAATTGTTTCAATGAATTGAATGGTAATTTCGAAACAGCGAGGACGCTAGTCAATGAGGCAGAGTATGTGAAAGATATCATCAATGCTGACATGCATATGGAAATGTATAACAGTCTCATGGGCGTCTCAACGGCAAGTCCTACAGGAAATTTTATATCACAAAATGCAATTGATCGCGAATTCAATAATCACTACCTGGCACACATTGTGCGCAATATATACCCCACACGTGTAAATAATGTTTACAGATCAATGGGAAATAATTGAACTGCCGACTCCTGGATTCAATGAGAGTCATGAAAAGAGACATTACGAGGATTACAATTATTATGGCTATCCAGATAAATACGGAGAATGCCTGTGAACAGATATAGACCTCTTTAATTCTTCTGTTAAAAGAAATGGGAGAATAATTCAGTGCGCATTTCGTTGATATTTCAATCAAATGGAAATTTTGTAACAGGATAGCAGAAGAATTGAGTTACCCGATGTTTACCGCCATTTTGTGGAGCGCCTTTTTAAGCATTATAATGGCGGAAAAATAAGGCTCGTCAATTCAATTATCGTGTGTTGATTTTCGGGGTAAAAGCGCTAATTCTCCATGAATTAAAGAATGTACCTCGAAATACGTATTCCATTGAACGTCAGTTGCGTCGGATTTCTGATAGTACAATCGGGAATCGAGCTTTATTATTGGAAGAGTAAAATCAACCACAGTGGATCGAGAAATAGTTCTACTGAATCCATCAATACTCATATCAGCTTCATGTCGCTGTATTCTTCCAAATACACCTGTCCAGATAGTTGTGCCGGGATCCAAGATTCCAGAGTCGTCTTCTTCGATCATTGCCGCGATTGTGAAATTCATTGATCGAGATAGTTCTTCAAGAACGTGCGAAAGAAATCCCTGAAAATGCTCACCGTTTTTCCAAATGTAGGTTGAGTCCTGGAATCGATAATTATTTCGAAATCATTACGAAAAAACCTGAAGGAGAAAATTACCCCCACCAAAGATATAATTTAAAATATCAATTGTTTATGACATGAATATATTTTCGGCACTCATTATTTGTGTCAGAGGCTTTACCTTGGAATAAGTAATTTGAAATGCCCTGCCTTCTAGAGACGATCTCCGGGTGAAAAAATCATCTTCAGTGAACCACTCAATACTCTGTTTACTCTGAGTCCACCTGCTGATTTCCCGTATTGTCATCCGATTTTGTGGACCCGACCACCATCCTTGGATGATATCAGAGCCACAGCACATGACAAGCATCAGTGAGTTGAATTTTAAATTCAACGAATTGAACCGCGGATTGCGACAAAAATTACAAGCCTCTTCGTCGACATCTCCAATGAACAGAAGGAGCCACACCCCATAATTCATTTCTAAATTACTGGTGAGATTTGAGACACGATGGATATCCCCTGGTCTGTCAATAGCAACAATAACGAGTGGAAGACTCGGATGGCTCTTGTAAAATTCCAATCTTTCTCTAAACCTGCCAAAATGAGCAATAACCGATGGCATTCCTCGACGAGACAGAGTCACACTTAACTGATGCCACATAGTGAGTTCCTGTGAGGCTGTCATCACATGAAAAAATAATTATCTCAAATAAAAACAAGTAATTGAACTAAATTGAAACTATTCTATCTCTTCAATTTTTCTCAGGAAGATATTTCTGCGATTTTATTCACTTGAGTCAATATATTTATCATTACTACTCAACAAGAATTATTTAAACTGATTATTACTTTAAAATTTAAATAATTGATATTGTACTCGGTTCTACACTACCTGAATAATCTTTATGAGCTACGGATGACGCTATAATTCCAGCCGTATGGTATCTTTCATATACACCCGTAATCAGAGATCCATAATAATTTATATTCTCGTATGTATGGGCTGGAATTATTAAAGGAATAACAATCAAAGAATTGAATAATATTTTGATATTCCTCATGTTGCGTATCTGAAATATCTGGAGGAGCGACGCAAACGAAGAGTAGACGATCTATGAAAAATGTTGGGAAAACGTCGACGAGTTTTCAGTGATACAGAAGTTATCGGGTATTTTAAGAGTTAGGAGGAATCCTATGGTTTAGTAATTTAGGATAATTGAGAGTTCTGCTGTGTGTTTTAAACCATTTGCAGTCTCTATTTGCTTTTTACCTCTCCTTCGAGGAATACCGCAAAATCACCTAGTGCATTCCACGGTCAATAGCACTTCTACTTGCACAATTCCATTACCATGGACTTAGAAATGAAAACAGATACAGTTATCGCCAAGTCCATCAGGGACCAGGAGATTTAGTACAGATAATTTTATTATTCTTTGCACGTATACCACAAAAATCACGACAGCCAGTGAATTACAAATAGAGACAGTGATTAATCATGATTATATTTAGTTAATTGAATGAAATGCACTCGACTTAGTCAGTACATAAAATGAGCGTATCGATTTCTAATATTTCTATTATTTCCAATCCATCTTTCATTCTTTTGATTGCGCAATTGATCTCGATTACGACAATAAATCCGTTCGAGTACAAGAACAACCACTGCAGTGAAGCATCCACCGATTAAAAGGTATAAAATTGGATATATTTCTTCAAAGAGCATCTGCGTGTACGGTGGTACATGATCTCTTGGATTTGAACGCGAAAAATACACCTGCTGCAATCGCTGTAGCATTCCATTACTTTTGAAACGCTGAAAGCTTCAATTTATGTTGTAATTATCGAGCAGTAGGGATTTATCTTTGACATTTTACTTACTGATGATTGACGAACGGTGTGTACTTGCTATGAAATTGCATGATCATCCCCATAGCCCGAACCTCTCCAGTTTTGAAGGAGGCGATTTCGCAAGGTATAGAGTCCTGCATCGTTGCCCTAACCATTTCATTGGAATAAAATGCCACTCTCTCGTTACAGACCTGCAAGGAAACAATTATATTGTTAAAATAGCTGCATATTAAATTCCCTCTTAAATTTTTATTTATTCAGACCGAAATTTTCATCAAATTTTCATCAATTTTCAGAAAAAAAATAATCGCAACTCTTGATTAACTCAAAATTAAATACATCATATATAATACCTGGTCGTATGCTTGTTTAGTATTTATAGGCAATTCGCTTGGTATTTTTATCAAAGCCATCAACCGTTGCATCAACACCGACTTCGCGCCCTGCGGAATTATGTATAAAATCATTAAATTTCCGGAATTATTGAAACGATTACGAGAAATAAGGACCTTGATTCTACTGTAATCTGCACCATCTGTCACTACAATTAGTTTATAGGTACCATCATCTACAAATTCTTCGACTGTATTAAACAAGGAAGTGGTCGGACGAACGGTGATAAAACTGATAAGAGATCCTGAATATATAGCTGATAATAATCCCACCGATAGAAACGTTGAGATGTATATAATCCTCAGAGATGCCCGTTCAGGAAATCCTGTTTGCAAAATTCTCTACTAATTTTTTCTGCTTCAAAAAGATTTGAAAAAAAAAATTAAATTCTTGGAATTTGAATTTTTCATTACTTGATAATCCCTGTTGACAGCAGATACCCCAAATATTCAAGTAATTGTCAACAATCATACGAAATGAACGATAACCGTTATTTCTATATTCGATGAGAGTCAACAAAATGACAGTTGCCAACAGGGAGCAGATAATGGCTGCCCAGACCTTTCCTTCGAAAACCTTTGAATCAAGATAATATTCAGAAGATAAAATACCAATGCTGTAATTCAACGACAAATTCATAGAAACCTCGAGATATGCTTTCCACCGTAGGTTGAGACCGTTGGGTTTTCGATAATAAAATCGGCAGTCACCGATTCCGACGGGAAATGTAAAATCAACGACATCCATTCGTTCCTTTGTCATACTGAAGGCCGCAATACCTAGGTCAGCTTTTTTTCGCGCAATTTGCCCGATCATACCACTCCATTCTGAAGTCACCGAATTTCGAGTCCCAGACGAATTGGCAATTATAACCGATCCTATGGAGAAGTTCATTTTTTTGGACAATTCTGTCAGAACCGGTGCAAAAAATCCATAAAATTCGCCATTAATCATCCAGAAATAATGCGATCCCTGTAATTGATTCAGTAATTTCAATTTAACGTCTGAATTTCTTCGTATTTCTCAGAACTAAATAGAGAATAAAGTTCTAAATAAAATAAACCAGACGTACCTGAAGAAGTGAAATACGGAAAGTCAATCCCTCCGGAGGAATTCGAATCTCATAAAAAGCTTTTCTGGCTGACCACTCAATTTTATTACTTTCACCGATAAATTTTCCAATCTGCTGTCTGTTTGTGAAATTCTCTTTGCGCGACCACCATTCTTCAATAAAATTTGATCCATAGCATGAAGTAATTAACTCCGTGTCAAAATTGAGATTTAATAGATTTCCGTATGGATTACGGCAAAATTGATTGATTGGTGAGTTGGAATCTCCGTAAAATAGTATTAGCCATCGGGGATAACTCATTGGCAAATATTCGGTGATGGATTTTAAGGTGTTGAGTTCTTCCATTGAGTTGATGAAGATCACGACAAATGGGCGAGAATCTGTTCGAACCGTTGACTTCAATATTTCATTCAAGCGTTTAATATTGATAGTCGATGACGATATGCCGTCATTCGAGAGAGTTAGTGTTAACTCATGCCAAAATGTTGAGCTATCCAAAGCTGTTGATATTTATAAACAAACATCAAACTGAGAAATCGAATTTAACAATAAATTGAATCAGCCGATTTTTAGATTTGTAATTTTTCTGATAAATTGTTGATCGCATGGATCCAAACAATATATTGTTTTTGCATTTTATAATTATTTCATGTTTATATGATTATTATTAATTTTCCTGTGTATTATCGGGAAATTTATGAATTTTGGTGGAAAGACAGTAGAATATTATAGTTTATATTTATTTCAAATTAAACTCACAATGATTGTCATTCATCGACGCGATAATTATTCGATTTGCATTATATCGTCGGCAAACATTTGTTATTAAGAATTGGTTGTAATTGATTTTTCCATCAACATCCCAAAGAGTGCCAGAGGCTGGAATCGCTAGATGGAGAATCAAGCTGATTAGAGGATTCATTACTGATTAACTGAGGGAAAAAATAAATCTTCAAGTCATCAACGGTTTGTGGACTTCTTCCGGAAAGCGATTGGTCTCGGATGGGAATGGAAATTCAGGTGAATTCGATGGCACTAGGACAAAGCCCCACAACAAACTACACTAGAATATTTTTCTATGACTATGAGGGCTTAGAAAAATATTTGCTCTATCTTAATGGTGACCTAGTTTCATGTTGCAATATTTTCAATGCCTCCATGCGATTTGCATACCACTCAAATCACGGAGTATCTCTGTGAGTCTAATGGATTACCAGTCACTATTTAACTACTCGAATTAATAGAGACGAGAGAATAGTGAGATGAAAAGGCAGTGAATTCTCAGGAGAAATCAGAATAGATAGAGATCATCTCATTATTTTCAGGCCCTCATATATGAGTGTCGATTTGAAATTGAAAATATACTGTGATCCGAAAATGAGGGTAGGCGGAAAAAATATCCCCGGAAAAAATAGCCCACACACCCAAAACGTGTTAAAACCCACCCAATGTGATAGACCATAGGAAAATTAGAGCCCCTAAAAAAATAGACAACGAAAAAAATAATTAAATTGAAAAATAATTAAATTGAGCGAGTTTTAACACGTTTTGAATGTGTGGGATATTTTTTCCCTGGGATATTTTTTCCGGGATTCGAAAATGAGGGATTGTTTCCGCGAAATTAGGAATTAAATGATAAATAAATGAATTATAAATACTAAATAATAAATTTAAATTTCCCCCACTTCACCCCCGATCAATTCGATAACCAATAATTAAATATATTTTTATAGTAGGTATACATGTATATATATATGTAGGACATAACGAATTTCCTATTTGTATTCTCACGCCAAAATATTGAGGAATGGCTCCTGCTGCCATCTACGACCTGGAAGAAAATACTGAATACCAATTTCGTAACGCAGTAAAAAACATTCACCCTATCGACTGGTCCCTCTGACGTCGAGAGTGCTACTGGGACAGTTACCGAGTCGGCTGACGGCCCCGACCCCCCGCCATTGTGTGCGGCCCCCTCTTTCTGTTGGGGTGACGTAGTACAATGCTGGTGGGGTCGCTCAAACCCCCACTGGGCGGCTCAGTTCTGCGCGAGTGCCTCACCCACTGATCAGTGGCCTCACCCCAAGAGAAAGAGGGGGCCGCACCCGATGGTGGGAGTTCGGGCCCGTCAGCCGACTCGGTAACTGCCTCAGTAGCAGTCCCGCTGTCAGAGGGACCAATACCTCCTCGATTTTCATCCACCCCTGATACTTTTATAAAAATTTTGAATTTTCAACTTTCAGTGAATACCTCTTCAATTTTCATGCTCCCCTGATCCTTTTTTGAAAATTTCGAATTTTTCAATTTCAGTCAATACCTCCTCGATTTTCATGCTCCCCTGATACTTTTTCAAAAATTTCGAATTTTCAAATTTCAGTGAATACCTCCTCCATTTTCATGCTCCCCTGATACTTTTTTTAAAATTTTCAACTTTTCCAATTTCTGTGAATACCTCCTCGATTTTCATGCTCCCCTGATACTTTTCGAAAAATTTCGAATTTTTAAATTTCAGTGAATACCTTCTCGATTTTCATGTTCCCCTGATACTTTTTCAAAAATTTTGAAGTGTTCAATTTCAGTGAATACCAATTTCGTAACGCACGACATAACGTTCACCTCATCTACTGGTCCCTCTGACAGCGGGACTGCTACTGAGGGTAACAGGTAGACACCCCAGCATTGCGTGTGGCACCCTCTCTCCCTTGGGGTGAGGTACTACGATGCGTCTGGGGTCACTCAAACCCCCAGACCTGAGCCTCTACTTTAGTCAATCCTCTCTGGTTGATCCTATTCGTGACTAAATTCGCACTGGTGTTTTCTATCGATTGTAGCTTTATACGAGAAACCCTCAACATTAGTCTACCATCCATATGATAATATCGGAGTGGTGTTGGAGTATTAAAATAATTTATTATGGGGAGCCTCATGAACTTTTTTGAAGAGCACATACGTTTTGAGATTCTCACTGTGATATGGCTTTTGTACCTCTGGGAACTGTACCTCAGCTTGCGGCAGGTTAGAAATATATGATTATAGTTTTTTTGCTAAATCAAAATTTCAACCCAAAAGAAAAAGATCAATTGATACTCCAGAAGAATTACGGGAAATTCATTGCAATTGATCGAAATAGTAATTAAAACTTCTTTTATTAAAATGCTGGAATTATCCGTTGAAAATTTTTTGGTGTTCATGATTTTAAAATCAAATTGTAATTAAAAGAGGAAAATTCTGTTTAATTTTTCATTATTTCACGCTGTGGGAGAAATTCCTGAAGATTCTCTTCCTCGATTTTCTTGAGGAAAAGTGAATACTCGGTTCCACTGATAAACGAAGTAGTGACTCAGTATCAAGAAAGGAAATAGTTAAAAATTTATCGAAACAATGGGTTTTTTTTCTACGCGTCACGTTATGAAGACGAATGATTTTTTAATCTTTTTCTTTACAGAGAAAACTTATGAAAAATCTCGCTGCTATTCCATCGAGTCTAGATGGTCTGATGTCAGCTGATGTGTACGAAAAGGCGCGACTCTATGCACTAGATAGAAACGGGTGCAGTAATATTCATGATCTATATACAACAATTATCAACACGGTATGAAACCGATTGAGTGAACTACTGACTTTAATTTTCAATGATTAATAAATAAATATTCATTCGTTTTTCCGCAGGTTCTAATTCTGGCATTTGCATTCCACTACTACTGGAAATGGGGAATAATGCTGATCGAGGCAGTGGGATTGTCCGGTGACAACGAGATCCTGACGAGTGCTGCATGCCTGGTAGTAATAACAACAGTGTCCTTCCTCATCGATTTTCCCTTCAAAGTGTACAATGTCTTTGTAACCGAGGAGAGACACGGTTTCAACAAGCAGACACTATCGTTCTTCCTGAGAGATCAATTACTCAAATTCCTGGTATCCCAGCTGATAGCACCTCCTCTCCTCTGCGGCTTCATCTGGATCGTGAAAAACGGTGGCGATTTCTTCTTTTATTTCGTCTGGCTATTCGTCGTCGTCGTCACCCTCTTCATGTCAGTGATTTATCCAGAGTTCATAGCACCACTATTCGACAAGTACTCGCCCCTTCCTGAGGGTGAGCTCAAGACTAAAATCGAGGCCCTCGCCGCGTCCCTCGGTTTTCCATTGTATAAGTTGTACATTGTTGAGGGATCCAAGAGGTCTTCCCACAGCAATGCTTACCTGTACGGATTCTATAAGAACAAGAGAATTGTTCTATTTGATACTCTTGTTAAGGGATACTGCAAGAATAAGAGTGATGATAGCAAGGAGTACGGATGCGAGGTCGATGAGGTACTTGCTATTCTTGCTCATGAGCTGGGGCACTGGAAATATAGCCATACTATCAAGGGACTTATGCTGGCACAGATAAGTTTCATCATGAATTTCATTCCCTTCGCCAAGCTCATTAACTACGCACCAATGTACACCGCCTTTGGCTTCACCAGCAGTCAGCCAATCTTCATTGGTCTCATCATCGTCACTATGTACATTCTCACACCCCTCAATACCCTATTTGGGGTTTTGATGACTGTCAATTCACGCAGATTTGAATTCCAAGCCGATGAGTTTGGGAAGAAACTCGGCCATGCAGCAGCACTCAAACGTGCTCTGGTGAAACTTCAGAAGGATAATTTGGCCTATCCCTTGTTCGATAAATTGTACTCTGGATGGTATCACAGTCATCCTCCACTGCTGGAGCGTCTGGAGGCGCTGGACAAAGTCGATTAGTACCAGCACTGTGAATTTTTCGAGTATGCCAGTGTTTTCCAGAGCGTGATCATGGGTTTCATACTTTTATTACTTTAATTTGCAATACGAATAACTCTAGAACCCATTTTTTTATTTAGTGGATCGAATGAAACTGAAGGGTAACAAGAATACACGCATGAGAGAAATCAATTGAGAAACCTTTTTGTGAGAAATTCGAATGAGATTCGAAGTGAAATTGATAAATTAATGATTAAGATTTGTTAACGAGAGCGAAGATTTTTTTATGAAATCTTTTCACATTTGTAATTAATGCAGAAGTGGGGAGTGTAAGTTGTAATCATGAAGTTGCAATCATATGCAATCACCAGGATGATTTTTATAAAACTCATTATAGAAATGCTCTCATTCTCGCTATAAATGTGTAAAATATTCTTGCAATTAAATTCTGTGAACCAAAGAGGCTTTTTATACAGAAACTGTCTTATTATTTTCATTCACTTCACTGGAATTTCGACAGTGTCTCTGATAAAGCTGTTAACCATATGACGACCCCGAAGGCTCCAGCATCCACGTTCGTGAGGAATTCGGAATTTTTAACGTACGACGCTCTGCCAGCTCTAAAAAATATAGTTCGCTAGAATTGTAGTGAATTCCGAATTGATTTCTCTTGGATATTTGCAATCTTTTTAGATAACTCACCTGGGAACCATTTTCTCAGTTGCAGCAGAGCCTTTTCGTGCTGCTTCTGCTGCGGCATTTGTCGCATCTCTCAGGGATTTCGTTGAATTGTCATTAAATGCCTTCCAGGCTGGTTCCAATGCATCCAACTGGAATAAATCAACATGAAAAATCCTATTTGAATTCCCGATAATGATGGCAGAACGTTGAGAATTCAGTATTTATTGTCGTCCAATTTTCATAACACATTTCGATTAATTTGTTGAATTCGTTTTTAATTGTGTTAAACAAATGAATAATTGAGTAATTATTTTTACCATTGTTCTGTCGCCGAGACGAGCTTTACTGTACTTCATCACTCCGTCGATTCCACTTCTCCAGGCATCGGCTATTAATTTATTCCAGTTCTCCTCTGAATTCCTCACTAATGCAGCAGCAGATGTTGCAAAAAATAAACTGTAAACAGCTCCAGAGGTGCCTCCCATGCACTCCTCAGCAATTCCGGAGAGTTCCATCAACAAAGAAGCAGGAAAAGGGATTTTTAAAGACTCCAATGACGAAAGGATTCCTATTTTCAAAAATTCAATCAAAATAACAAAATAACTTCTCCTAAAATCCATCCATTCTCAAAAAAAATTGATAAACTTTCAGATAATTAAGGATAATATTTTGTTAATAGTTCAATTGAAGTTATAAATTGTCTTCACCATTTGCGAGTGTCTTGTGAGTGGTTCCACAATCGCCATCTCCACAACCACGATCCAAATTATTTAGGATTTCCTCATTTTCAATAATGGCCTGACAAGCATTTTTCAGGCACTCCTTAAAGATTTTAATGCCTGAATTTTCGAGTCGCTTCCCCGATTCGCGGATAATTTCGTGGGATTCTTTTTCGAGTTGTGGGGTGAATTCAATGGGGCGACTGAGAGAACATCCTGGCCAACAGGGAGCATCTGTTGGATCGTCCAAACACTGAATGTAAAGCTCTTCATGGACCTCTGGCAGCTTCAGAACACTCACGTGGACACCAGCACCATCCAGGGATGTCATGAGCATTCCAGAGTAAGTCCTCACTACATTTACTTCATTCTTCCCTTTAAAGATAAAAAAGACGTAAATTCTAAAAATGAAAACTATATTTTCTCTGTGCGTGAAAATTGAGTGGATTATTTTGAATGAATCCCTAAAAAAAATCCACCAAAAACTTACTCATTAGCTCAGCCACATCATGAGCCAGAATCCCCTGCTCCAATTGGCTGGTTCCTCCGAAATTGTTAATGATGACTGCAACATCGTCTCCCTTCGTCAACGAAAGCGCCTGAGAAATGCTCGTCAACATAATTGAAACAATTTCCCTGGAATTTTTAATCTTCATCCGGTCGTATCCCGCCTCCCCGTGGACCCCAAGACCGACTTCCATCTCATCATCAGGTAATTTGAAAATAGGCCCTTGTCCCGGCAGGGAACAGGCCCTCATGCCAACTCCAAATGTCGCGATATTCTCAGACACAATCTGCGCGTGATGATGAACCTCCTCCAGAGGTTTTAGCCTCTGGGAGAGCGCTCCTGCTATTTTCATTACGAAAATCATCCCCACGAGTCCTCGTCTTCCTGCTCTACCCAATTCACTGCTAGAGATGCTGCAGTCATCGCCAATCACTATTTCTGCAATCTAATGTATTTTCAATTAAAGGGAAAATTCATGAAGTTTCTTTTTTAAATATTTAATTGATTCTCGTTAAAGTTCAATTTTTTAAATTTGAAAAATTTTCTTTTCAACGGAAAGTTCTATCGCTGAATTTCGCCACTTTTACTTTCTCGATATAAAAAATAATAACAATTGTATAATTATTATCACAATTATAGGATTTTTTTTATAAACAAACTGCAAATCAAAACATTAAAATTAAATTACCTTAAGACCTTCTTGTCTAGCTCTTTCGATAGCAATACCAAAATTCAAACAATCGCCCGTATAATTCGGAATAATTACTAGTGTGCCACCTGAAATTTCATATTTAATGTCTTTAATGTACTATAATTGCGGAATAACGAGAGTAACTAGGCGATTTTTTAATTACCATTCCCTCGGACACATTTCAGTGCATGAAGAACATTATTCGGTGGTGGTGCAGCAAAGACAGAGCCAGCCACCGATGCACTGAGCATTCCCCTGCCCACAAATCCTAAAATAATATTCAATTGAAAATTTTCATTGCGAGCAGGAAAATGAAAAAAAAAAATGGAGTATAAAAAACACCTGCAGCAAAAGGCTCATGTCCACTTCCTCCGCCGCAGATTGTGGAGACTTTATTTTTATCTCTTTCATCAAACTAAAGGAATAAAACAATTAAATTAAATAAAGCCAGAAAGAATACGAATGAAAACGAATCGAGAGTCCATAATTCATGTATTACATAATTTATAGCAATAGCATTAATTATTATTCATTATAATTTTCAAGTGAATTTTCAGTGGAAGATAAATATTCATCAATATAATCAATTGTATCAATTATATAATAATAAAATTTGATAGAAACATAAATTATACATAATTTTGGTTAACTTCAATTTTTTTTACGTGGAGATTGACAGATTGGATAATATTCCGAAAGGAAATGAATAGAAATAAATAGAATTTATCCAGATGAGAAACGGAAGATAACGTACATCAGCTCTGACGACAACTCTCTTCAATGAATGATAATTCAATCCCGGATAAACAGTGCACAGTCCACTGAGGGTCTCATGTACAGCATTGTCAGCCGAATTGATGAATTGTTTCGATGCCATAATAATTAAACCTTCGATTGCAATCACCCTTAACAAATAGAACTTTGAGTAATAAAAAGATTGAAGTTTGTTATTGTCATTCGTCGCTTATTGACATCGAGATGTTGAACTGTTGACCCTGGGACTTGACTGTCTGCTAAAATATTTCAGATTAGACTGACTGGTGTAGATTAAATGTTAGAGTATTTATGTATGCGCAATTGCGGCAGATTTGTAAACGCGCGATGCTCGAGTGATTGCATGAATGTACAGGATAAATCACGTTGTTCGGCCTTGAAGATTTATCGGAAAGTAAAAAACACTGAGAAAAATAAATAATTGTTTAACCCTATTTATTTTTTTCAAGTACGTTCCATTGGCTTCAGTAAATAACGTAAAAAAAGAAATAGAAAAATTGGCATTTTATTTCTCTCAGTTAATCAGTAAGATATTAATTAATATCACCAATAGCTGTAATAATAATAATAATTATTATTATTGTTATTATTATTTCAGGATAAGAATAATATTTTTAGTATGATGTTTGTTGAGTTATTAATTGAATTATTCGGGATTTATCATGAGAGAGTAATAATGGAGTGTGAAGATAATTGAATGAATGGAGTTAATAACATTTTTGTAACAAAATGAAATCAAATGAATTTTGAATTTGAACGGGCGATCGCGAGCTGCCGCCATTTGCAGCTCGCAAGCCGGCGCGAAATCCGTACGTTTGAAATTAATTAATTAATTATCTGAAGTCATTCCTCGGGGAATATTCAATATTTTTTATAATAGGTCTTTAAAATACTTATTGAAGATTAGTAGAAAAAATATAGGGCTGCCTCCAAAAATCTTGGACTTGTACTCAAGCTCTGGAGAATTTCCGTTAAAATTCTGTTTATTATTTAATGAAGAGTCAATGAATAAAAACGGCTGATCCATTTTTATCTCCGCGTCTTGATTTTTCTCTTGAGATTTCCTCTATTGAAATTACTATATTACTTAATCTTTTTACATTCAGATTTGAAATAAGAATTCGAGAATTCCAGGACAAATCGTTAGAATTCCCGAAAATTTCACACATATTTGGAATTTTCAAACAAATTGGTTTTTCTAGGTGTTAAAAAATCTATTGAATTTTGAATTGAAAATTGCGGGTCGATAGCTGCCGCCCTCTGGATTTCTCCGGCCAGTGGAAAATTCGCAGTTGCAAAATAATAGACCGCAAATTTTCGCGAAAAATCCCCGCCTCATTTTGAACCTCTAAAAACGTTAAAAAACCATGACGACGAAAAAATCTTGTTTTTAAATCGTCAAAAATGTTGTCCACCTTGAAAATTATACTATTTTCCTTTCTATAATGAAAAGGGCATCGGAGGAAGGGGAAAAGGTCTTGACTTCCGCGACGTGGGTCTCCTACAGCGCACGTGGAATAGATCGAATAGAGAGGGAAAGTCTATGCCTGAGCTTTTAGGGGTCAGGTCAGGGTCTGGTGATACCATTGATACCAATAATGGAGGAAAATTTTCGCGAAAAGTTACAGTAAACCACGAGAAAAAGTGACAGTTAGAGGGAAATTCTCACGAATTCTTCCGGTTTTAAACATTTTTCACAAAATTCATTAAATTTTTTCTATCGATCCACGAGCATTTCCTTCTCCACCCACACGTGGCTGATGCAATTTTTTAATTACTGAAATATTCGTGTGATAGTGAACGAAGTGAAATAGACGGTGTACCACTGGGAATTCGTTGAGGTGCTGAAGATGATGGGAATCAATACGTGTGTTGGTGAATTCAGTGCCACGTGTGGTCCCACGTCGGGAATCGACTTCCTGGAGTGATAAAAATGTGTCGTTGAATTTATCACGACGTTTACTCATTGAAATGTGTTTGGCGTCTGTTCTCCATTGCATTAAGGTAAAAAATCCAATTCTCCTATAAAAATATTTAATATTTTTAATATTTTTTGGGGATTTTATACGCGAAAAATTCATAATTAAATGAAATTAATAACTTTATAGCATATAATGATATTTGATCTATAATTTCAGTTTTTATTTATAATTGAATTTATTCTGACGATTGTTTATTGTATGATCTCGAGAATCGGGAAATCGAGAATCGACTTCCTGGAGTGATAACAATTTGTCATAAAATTTATGTTAATGTTTAGTAATCAAAATGTGTTGGACGCATGAAAATTGTGACTGACTCATTAATTGATTTTTCTCTTATTATATTTCTTATTTATGTATTTTCGTAATTTCAAAATGACTTTATTCATTTTTAATCATTTTGAAAATCCAGTTGTCATGGAAATGTACGAAAAAATCATTAGGGTATTGTTTTCTACAGTTACTTCGTCTAATCTATATTTATTTCGGTTTGTAATTAATTTTGCGGTTCGATCGATCTGGCCGGGCGGTCAATTGAGCCAATGCCCGTCAATTTGTTGTTAATTTTCTTCGGGATTTGATTGATAAGTCATTCGTATGCGCAATAAAGATTGATTGATTGGGAATGACACAGATATCGGAACTGCGACCTGTAAGATTCACTCTGGACTTTAAAACTGATGACCTCACTGATTTTTCGATTGTGGAATTCTTGAATTTATCCAAATCTTGAATTAAATAAACATACAAAATAGATATATATACTTTTGACTACATACTATATTTTTTCAAATGTATGCACCTTTTTTTCAAGTTAGAAAAATGTCAATTAACAATTCCCCAAAATAATTTTATGGATATCAATCATTATTATTTTGAAAAATCATTTTTATGAGTTGACTTGACCAACGGAAAAGGGATATTTCACGATATTTGGATTTTTTCAAAGGGAAAGATAAGAATTGAATGATGCTCTGAGTGATTGATCGAGGAGAACCAGTAAGATTAGTTGAAGAGTTAATACGAGTTGAAGCGTCGATCAGAGCTGAGGATATGCGTAGAAATCTAGTGACTTCAGTTGATATTCGCTCGGTGGTGGTGACGAACGTCGATTGTGCTTCACTCCATCCGAGCCTCGTGTAATTTAAGAATCAAGTTGAATTGTTTTCTCCCTCATTTCCTATCTTATTCCCATGTCGACTTTTTCGCCGGCTTTTTCCACCAATCTCTGGTTGGTAAATCCAAGATTTTTTTTATCAATCAGAAAAAATTGAACTGCCCAATTCAGTTTAGTATGTCAGTGGTGAAGTGGTGAAGATCAGCTCCAGATTATTATTTGTCTTCAAGAACAAGAGGTTGACAAAAGATACTTTTACTTCATCAACACATTTATTTCCTCAATTAATTGATTTGTTGATTTGATTTGTTTTATGATCTCATTCCTCGAATTTTCTGTGATCAATTTATTTTTAAGATTCAAATTATCAATTAGGGAGGACTGATCTTGCGATTGCATAACGAATTTGATTTGCGGGGAAAAATTAATTTTGGGGTTGAGTGAAAAATTTTATTGCTCATGGACTTCTCGTGTTGTTTTATTTTAATGAAATTTGTCTCAATTGGTAAATTACTCATTAATTGACTCGACCAGGACGGAGAGATGAGCGCAATATTTTTACACTGCAGATGACAATTTTGAGACTATCAAACAAACTTGTGATCTTTGAACCCGAGACATCAGAGATGATTATGTTCAATTTTCAATGGCGATTCATTCGAGTAAAAATGAGTCGAGTTGCTCAGATCCTTGGGTTTTTAGTTTTATTTTCTCTCGTCTAGTCACTGCCTCTGATTCTCTCAAAGTCCATAAGGACTTGAATCAGAGGAGAATGTGCAATTATTTTCTAACGAGAAAATGAAATTCAATCCAGGTCAATCGATTATTCTCTAAAATCCCTTGGTTTTCATTTCATCTCTAAGAAATTTACACGACAATTTAAAAATTTTCTAGTCTGCGAGAAATTAATACGATCTTTTAATGAATCTAATAGAAGTCCAACAGAATTTTCACTTGCAATGTTTTTTCAGAGCGAAAACGAAAAATAGAAGAGAAAAATCTTTTGCTTTATTTAGGAAATTATTCTGACAATTGTTGAGAGAAAAATTACTACAGACTATTTTTCGTAAAAATTCGAAACTTTAATTTCTCCCAGATTTTTTGCTTAGAGTTTATTTATTTGAATTTTAATCTTGACAGCCGTAACAATGCGATAGTCTAGTGGTTAAGGAATGGGACTAGTAAGTCCAGAGTTGCGGGTTCGATTCCTAACTACGGCAAAAAATAATAGATTTTTTTCACCGGTAATTAAGAAATCTTTGAAGTCTATGATCTACATAAAAAATGGATGTAATTGCAGGTATTGAACTGTCAAAGAAAGCTATAGTTAGACAGATAAGTTGATTAGATTTGACAACTGTCATCACTTTCTCCGAAGACTTCGCTCACAAGAATTGACCGGCAGTGACAATGCCACACCTTCCAGCAGTCTAAAAACTCATCACCAGTAAATAATCAGTAAAAATCATGACTGCCACGAGATACGTCGACACTAACGGAGAAGTGGGTACAAATGTTGGTTCAGACACAAGATGCGTCATTGAAAATCAGAGAGCCACTGGAGAAATGATGACGCGTGTCAAGGTGACACCAGTAGAAGAGAGACAAGACAATGACAACGCAGACGAAAGTGATCCTTTTATTGATAATAATCATCGTCAAATAGGTTCATTAAGTGGAGAATCAAAGAACATTTCGACGAATAAATTAGAGAGGAAGAAGGGACAGCTTGATGATGATGATGATCAGATGCCACCGGATGGTGGAGTCCGGGCGTGGATGATAATGCTCGGGAGTTTTACCATTAATGGAATTTTATTCAGTGTCATTAACTCTTATTCGCTGATTTTTCTCAAATTATCGGAAATTCTGAGGGACGCCGGGGAAACTGAGGTCTCGTCGAAGGCTTGTGAGTAATCTTCGTAGATTCAATAGATTTTCTTTTCTGGAGCCTCAACAGGAATTTTCCATTGTTTGTTTATGAAAATTATAAAATAAAATTATTTCCCGAAATTTCCAATGTAATTCACCTGCTGATTTAATTTAATGATTGAAATAATTGGAAAAAATTCACTTTGAATCATTTTATTTATCTTCATGGAATTATATTAAATCATGAATAATGAAAATTAACTACTTTACTTGAGGGAAGAACATATCAATTTTCATACCGGTCGGATAAATTGAAATTCGAGTACATTCCCTTGCACCCGCGATGCGATATTTAATACTCGAGTTCGCGAAAAATGACGACTGATTTCCTTTTCTCCTCCTTGCAAAGCCTAGAGCCCATAAATAAATAAATTAATTAATTAATAATACTGAAATTTACCATAACATCATCTAAAGAGATAAAAAAGATCGGGTTTATCCTCCCTTTCTCCGGGGGAATGGTAATCGCGAATAAAAATGTAATGAAATTGATAATTAGTGAAAAACTGTTATTGTTATCGCATTTATTGTTATTGTTGCAACGTCAGGGTAATTTTTTTTCTTTGCACAGGTCAATTGTAATCATCCTCGTGATATTCTCGTAACTCATTGCAATCGCGGTACTCAGACGATGCTGTAATTAAAAATGGCCATGAATCGTGGTATTGTGTAATTATCACCATAGTTTTTCCTCATTTGTTATCAGTGCGCGTAAATTGGTCAGTGAACCGTGATGATATGGGGTAAATTTTCTCGTATTGTTCCGTGGGAGATAGTGTTATATCGACGCCTCTGACCTGCCGCAAACCTTTTCTCCTGATTTCCTCGTGCAGTTGACAAAAATTTTTGTTAATAATAACGCGGCCTGCATAATCGTAGCGCAACATTTTTGTTTCGATATTTTATTTGAAATTGGGCGACGAGAGATTAATTTTTGAGAAATTTATTTTCTCTTAATTCTTCGATATTTGCGTAGATTCGGATTTTTATTTCTAGGCTGTTATTGTAATTTTGAAATAATTCGCGAAATGGTCATTACGATTATTTTAATTTCCGAGTGAGACAATTACATCAAGTGGATGAAAATACATTTCTTTTGTCAATTGAGTCAATAATGTAACTCATTAAGCAATCATTGTTGGAATCTACAGAGCAATTAGTATTACTTTGTCGGTAATAAGAGCGATAAGGGGCAAAAAGGGCAGAGGCCTGGTACTCGGAGAAGTCAATGGCATCAATCCTATTTCTATTAAAAATCTCTTTAAAAAGTTATTAACAATTATATTAAAAATACACATTATTTTCCAACGAAAGAAAAATGTTGGCTAAAAAATAATCGTCAATTAAATAACAATGAACATTCAATGAATTTTTCAAAAGCGAATTGTGCAAGGAAAAGTATAAACAATAATCGTTAATCCGTACTGTAGGTTTAAAAATTATTTCACCGTTTCTATAATTACAGAAAATTCTAATATATTTATTTCTATTAATAGAATTGTTTTTGATGACAGCACTGGTGGGATCGCTGACGATAGGAACGACATTTTTTCTGTCTCCCGTTGCTGGAATTCTCACTGATCGAATTGGAATTCAGATGACAACATTCATCGGCGGAGCACTAGCTTTCGGGGGAATGTTGCTCTCATCTATTTTTTCTACTAAAGTAATTATCATTTCATGAATGACAATTCATAGTTAAATTTATTCAAGTCCTGGAATTACATTTTTCCGTAATAATTACAACCGATTGTTCAGAAGCGTATCGCTAATTTATTAATGAAAATGTACCATGCGTAATGAGAGAGCAATTGTCCAATTGTTTTAATTGTTTAATTGTTTCAGGTGGAAATTTTGTACCTAACTTATGGCGTTATGTACGGGCTGGGGGCAAGTCTGGCTTATACACCGAGTTTAGTCATTTTGGGTCATTATTTCAAGCGTTATTTGGGACTCGTCAATGGTGTCGTCACAGCCGGAAGTTCTGTTTTTACAACAATTATGCCTTACTTAATGGGATCTCTCCTGAAACGATTTGGATTGGTTGGCACTCTGAGGGGATTGGCAGTTCTTACATCAGTCGTTATGATGTGTGCAATTCTCTTCAAACCAATACCCGGTAAACAATTACAATTGCAATTACAATTGCAATTACAATTGCACCCCAAAGCCTGTAATTTTTTCTTGTCAGTGAAAGTAACTGAAAATAAATAAATAATCTTTTTTAAATAATTTTTTCCTGAATTTTTCAGTGCCGAGCAAAGCAGCTCTCGCAGCTGAGTCTGGATTAAATCCAGAAAGCACTTTTCGCTCGAAGATGAAGACAGTAGTGAACACTTCCATCTGGAAGAGGAAGAAATACGTCGTCTGGGCCAGTGCAATTCCCCTGGCACTCTTCGGGTTGGAACAACTCGTAATAACACATGCCCATTGAATTCCCAGGAGTAATTACCGATTTTCTTTCAGGTATTTCGTGCCCTACGTCCACATCGCGAATTTCGTGAAGAGGGTTTTTGATAATGACGCCAATGAACGTCTTCCGATCATGTGCATTGGAATAACTTCCGGTATTGGTCGTCTCGTTTTTGGATACATTGCGGATTTGCCTCGAGTCAATAGAATATTATTACAACAAGTAAGTCGACATGATTAATTCATCATTATAACGCTTTCACTTTCATCAGATTTCTGGAGAAGATATCCGATAAAGTGACGAATAATTCTGAATTTTCTTATAAATAATCAATAAATGAATGACGAAATTTTAATATTTCAGATATCTTTCATCAGTATAGGCATCTTGACGATGCTTTTGCCACTGACACCCCCCTATTACCCCATTCTTCTTGTGATAACACTATTGATGGGATTGTTCGATGGATGTTTCATATCATTGCTCGGTCCAATTGCCTTCGATATCTGCGGAAGGGAAGGAGCAACTCAGGCCATTGGATTTCTCCTTGGCATGTGCTCCATTCCTTTGACTGTTGGTCCACCCATTGCAGGGCTATTATTCGATCATACTGGTAAAATATTTATAAGCCATAATAATATATACCAGAAAAAATCTTTCTAGTCCAGGAGATTTTTCATATAAATGTTGCAGTCTTTTTTTTAATAAGTGAAAAAATTTATCGAAATATTTCAGGATCTTACACTATACCTTTCGTTCTCGCTGGGATTCCCCCGATAATTGGAGCAGCTGCCATGTTTCTAGTGCGGTTTGTCGAGGAGTCTCCACAGGAATCACTCAAGAGTCATCCACCTGAAGAGTCCATCAATGCTGACGCTTGCCTCAATGGTTGGTACCCAAATAAATTAGGAATTGAATGGAATAAGTGAATTTTACGTCAAGGCGTTATTAATTGTTCAGTAATTCACGGTGAATTCTTGGGACTTCATTTTTTATTATATTCTCCAAATTTTTCGAATATCTCCCTCATAATCACTCCCTAGCTCTGAAATAATCTCAACAATTCGCTTGCTCCATTCAATTCTCAATTTAAATCCTCATGATGAAATAACGGTTGAGATTTTTTCTTGGTTTTCGCACAGCGACGATAAAAAATTGTGCTTTTTTGTTACCACGATGCTTTGTAGTTTGAGTCTCGGTATGGTGGTGGTTCAATGTGTGATTCACAGGGATAGAAAAGCCGGTGTGGAAATCGAATGGAGCTGGTGGACAGAGACAGGAAGGTAGGTCAACAAACAATCAGCAGTTATCAGCCACTGCACTTTGCAATTCTAAATGTCGATGGAATACCGAACGATCAGAGACATTCATGGACTGTCAAATCGCCTTCAGATGCTCCAATGAAATCCAGGGCAATGACTGTGGATGCATTACGAACTCTGAGAGTGTTCCATTGCTAATTAGTGCGAGATTGATCGAATGATTGAGAGCACATGAGATTGGAGCAATAGACTGATATTTTTTTTCTGACAATGCATTTATTTTTATTTTCTAATAAAACGTTTTTTTTTATCTCCCTTGTTGCTTTAGTGTCACTTTTCTGCTGGATTGAGAAAAGCTTTGATCTTTCTCCTCTTCTATGCATGAGCTAATTTTATGTGATATGGATAATTCAGATGAGAAAGATAATATTTTTTAATGACTGGAAAAGTCACTTTATTCTGAGAGCTTTCAAAATTTTAATAGAAAAAAAAATCCGGGGAAAGTAGTGGACAGAATCGTTTTACATTTTTTAATAATAATAATCATTAACCATTTTTTCATGAAGCCGTTGTGGTCTTTCTTGATTTCGGTGGAAATGTTCTCTGAATAAATGAAATTCGTAGAGTTCTGGAATCTAGTGACTTTTTTTGAAAGAAGAAATTATTTTCTCAGCACCTTTTCGATTTACTCTTTCGTTTGAATAAACTTCTACCAATTCTGAAATGCTTGCAATTTTTTTGTTCGCCTCTCCCTCCCTCAACGGTTAATTTCCCTCTGCGAGAGTGAAAAATCGAGAATTTTGGAATTTCTAGGAGGAAACGAGCTCGGCCATTTGAGGATTAATGGAACCACCCCTGCATCACCTCAGACGAATGAGGATACTTAAATATCACGAAGAAAAGCCTATGTTTAAACAAAATCTGCCATTTTTATTATCTTTTATCATTCGCTCAAAGCCATCGACGAGTTCATTTGGATGAAGGACTATTTAACTGAGTAAAAAAAGTACAAATGACAGATCATGACTTGTCTGTTACGAAAATTCCGACAGATCATCACATATTTTTTCATCCGTGTTCATATTTTTTAGATGATCTTTAGCCGCAATATACCTCTGGAGACGTCGATTGAACGGAAAAATTGTGAATGAATTACTCTCTGAATGAGAATTGTTAATTGAGCGTTCTGTCAATAATTTCTCATCTCTTTCCCGTGAATTACTCATTCCCGGATATATATTTACTATTGAAAAGAACTTTGTATTTCACTCATCCATTAAATCAAAGTACTCTAGTTCTGAGAGATAGCGATAGAATATTTTACGCAAGTGCTACAGAAGTACTTAAAAAATTCTGTAGTTGAGGGAAACAAAAAAGTTTGAGCAGTTGAATGAATGAATTATTGATGATGTTGAATAGAATAATTTTATCACTTTAATTTTCCAAGTGCGCTGATGATGGCGATATAGAATTAATGCATTTGTTGTAGAAAAACGCATCGGTCGTCCGCTCAATATGATCAGAAATAATTGCAATTAATGTTAATAAGAGATTTATCACGAGTTATTCTAGAGACGAATTTAAGTCCGTTGTAATTTCGAGAAATTATGTCGAAGATGGAGAAAGTAAGTCAATAAAATTCCTATCAAATTTATTATAATTCATTTGTTAATCAATTTCAGTCCCTTTCTTCCATTATTACTATCACCTCGATTATTTAAACGAAGTTTAATTATTTAGTTCGATTTACTGTTCCATTAAGTTAAACCGATCACTCGATATTTTCACCGCGAAAAAATTCAAAAATTCCGCGGGAAATTTCATTGTTTTTGAAATTCCGAAAATCTTGAAAAATCAATTGATTGAGTATTATTTATATGAAAAATGTATTTGATGAATGAAATTCATAACAACATATTCAATATTGTCTTCACGTGTGCTTTTCCATTCTATAATTAAAATACATAACCAATACACTGAGTTCAATGTTTAAAAAATGTTATAATATAATTGTTATATTATGTTGGAATAATATTTAAAAAAAAATTAACTTTCCCTATTTTTTTTATAATTTTCGCTGGTGGTTTTTTTTGTTCAGGGGTGAAGTGGAAAATAAAATTTTTTCCCCGAGTGGTTGCGTCGTGTGTAGATCAGGCGTCGGGACGCCGCCGTCGCGAGGCACCGGTTAGAATCGCGCCAGTAGTTGCGCTCAGTTGTTCACGGAGAGTTACGAAAGTATCGCACCAGCTCTCAACAATCTCCCACTTTTTCAAAACAACTTGTTTATTTTTATCACCAATTCCTGGTTTCACCCCCCAACCAGTATTTTTCTACAAAACACCTACGCGACTAAACCAAATCGATTAAATCTCGAAAAATTGAACCCTGAGTTTCGAAATATCAGGGGAATAATTAAAATTTTATTTTCATTCCCTCGGACACGTGATAAATTATTTTTGTCCTCTTCATGTAAAAAAAAAATGGACTAGTGCAGAAGACACGCGTTGACGTCGAAACATTCAGCGAGAACGTAAGGAATAAGAGATTTTTTTTCTTCTTTGGGATTATCTGGAAATGATAAGAGGCATCTGCAATTTTTATTTTAATTCAGAGTTGTGAAATGTGAATGGAAAAATTGAAAGGTGTTTTGCGGAATGAGTGTTATGTATAATGAGTAGTAAATTTCGGCTTTCACCGTTGTCATCATCCTCGTGCTCTTCGTCATCGTCATTGTCTTCGAAACGTGAAATTACCGTCAGGAGGAAGTCGAGTCGTCTGAATTCCTTATCATCGAGTCAGAACAGCTGTGGGGATCAGGACTCTGTCAGTGTTAAAGTCAAGAAAGAACAACCGGAGGATGAGATAAAAGTAAGATTCACTCATTTAAAAATAAAATCTCTTTTTCCACTTGCATTACGATTAATCCAACAGATTTTACTTCAATTATCCGAATAACAAATCAACATGTTAATTAAAATAATCAATGAATAACGGAAGAATCATCTGATTCCATTAATTCATTCATAATAAAAAAAACTGAAATTTCAAATTGAAGTGCGAAAGGATGAGGTGGGATAAATCAAATTTACTACTCATTTCGATTATCGATCAATTTTTATTCGTTATTTAACAAAAAAATAAAATACTCCACTTGCAAAGAATAATGAACGGATTTATTTAATCGGTGGGTTTTCCGGAAATTCCTCGAAATCTCAAAGAGATATCGAAATTTTCATAATAACCTTTCTTGTACCTCTTTTTTCACTCTACAAAATACATTCTGAAGAAAATTCGCTATCTATAATAGGTAAAGAGATATTTCTCGGAAACTAAATTGGAACACTAGTAAACTAAACTTATCAATCAATTATCCATAGAAAAATTTTACTAAAATCATTAACATTCTCTTGATCAAAATTAAATGTCGCAGCCAATTACAATTATTCCCTGTTCATTGTTTCTAAATAAACAATTCTGCAGTGACCAAATAAAAATTACCAGCTCGCTTTACAAACAGATATCGATACAAATTCGAGATTCTACGAGAGATCGATAAATTCTAGTCAATCCTTTTTCGCAGATCTGACTCCTCTCTACGAAAGAATTGCAACGAGAAATTGTCCTAGGGTCCATAAATTTCTAGAAATTCCCCAGAACCAGTAATTTCCCTTGAATAAACCATTCCCCGAATCACAGAGAATTCAACAATAAAAAAAAATGATCTTTCTCTCATTGAAACAAATCACAAAAACTGGTTAATCAAGTTAAAAGGAGGAAACGATTACCCGGGCACTCCCAAGTGAAAATATCGTGGTATTCCCTTCATGTAATCGGTATCTATTTTCATTCTCGCAAAAATAACCGAACAAAGCCCATGTATTACCCGATGAGAAAAAAAATAACGAAGAGTCTAGTAAATAGGAGTCGTCTTTAGTTTCGGCATTGAACAATGTATATATATATAATATAGTATCGGTATGAGGATAGTTTAGCTTTCGATGGAGGCAAAACCAGGCAAAAGAGGGAACGTATAAAAGATAAATAAGATGGTGCAGGTTGTAGGTATATTTATATATCTTGGCTATATATCGTATTACATCTCCTTCGCCTGATTTATTCGGAATCATAATAGGCTGAAATGCGATACCAGAACGGCTCGCTTCACATCATTATACCTTTTGTCTTGTGTGATCACCTGAGAGCATTCGGTTTCTTATGGGGTTTACATGTGTGGGGAAATCCCCAGAGATTGTAAATCATCGGGTGTACATTATAAATTTACTGGTATGTTGTCAAGTAATTATGGAAATTATTATTTCATTTTACTAAAGGGAATTTATATTTTTATCGTCAATCTTCTATTTTCTGTTTATCTCTTTTTTCTAAAACATTTCTATTAAACATTCCTCCAAAATTCCTCTGTAATCATAAATTATAATTATAATATTATTATTATTATTATGTTGTGGAATTTCTATTGTTTAAAATTTTAATGGAAATTTCGCAATTTGGGAATTGGAATTTTGTAATTGTTATAGCAATTGGGGAAGTTATGAATTTGTTGTGAAATTTTGGGGAATTTTTCGAGTGAAATCATTTCTTTAATCGTTTTAAAAAAATTTTAAAGTTGGATATCCTTAATGCTTGAAGACGAAAAGGTCCGAAGGGTAGGGGGTGTTCTATTCCGGTCTCAGCCGTCTGTTTATTTAAAACCTCGGGCACGTGCTCCTAGAGTCCATCTGAATCTCTCACACATACGCATATATTCATCATCCGAATAGTGAACCCACTGATATTAATCATTCACCAAATCATCTAATAATCGATCAACCCATTAATCGATCTGGGAATCGATGGGGCCGCAAATTTCGTCACTCGTGCCAGTTAAAAATTCAAAATCTCTTTGAATTCGAAAATGAAATTTAGTTTAATCAGTTGAGATAATTTTCAATAATTTCTATGCGTTCATTGAAAATTCGGTGGAATGAATTGATTAATTTAAATTAATTATTTATTCTCGAATTTTATAGGAATTTTTTTCTGCGATGTTTTTTCGGATTTTGGAATTATTCAGTTTTTTTTTAATGTACACTCGAACGGTTTTGTTGTTATGGAATAAAAATGGAGAGGGAGTTCTGGGGATTTGAGAAACAATCCCCAGGATATATGAGAAATGGCGGGTGGGCGAAGGTAACCGTCAAGTACATGATTAATTGCTGGTAAAAATGTCAGATGTTATTCTTCGATAAAAACATCTCCGGGGGTTAAAATGCTATTCTTTTCGTTTCCGTCTATTGAAGGCAATCATTAAATTTTTTTAATGATTCCCTCCTGGTAATTGTACCACATACAATTTAAACGTACACGATAATCAGCCCTCGGGTTATTTTCGCGTGCAACTGAACTTTTGCAAACTCTGAGTTAAAAGAGAAAAGGGGAAGTGGGGCTTTCGTTTTCGGGGGTAAATGAACGGTGAGTTACACCCGCAATGCAGCCTTTGATTACACCTTTATTACCCGAGATAAAACTTACAAAATTCCATTACAAGATCATTAAAAAATAACCCGTACTTTGCACGTATGAAAATAATCAACAAAACCGCGATTTTACAAAAATGTTGATTGAAAGGTTCAGAATTTTAATTCCACTTCATTCTATTTACGACTTGAAATTGAAATTCAATTCTCAATATCTAGAACAATCACAAGAAAATATTCATTAAAAAAAAAAACTATGGTAATAGGAAAAGGAAATGTAAATAAAAAAAAATAAAAAAATATTCACCGGGAAAAACTTGATTTTTTGTACAATTATTATTGTATATAATTGTTAATGGTAATGAATTTATTGAAATTTCCCACCACTTTGTTTTTAAAAAATCCTGAAGCTTTCAATTCCACCGAGAAACAGTAATTTCTAGTAAAAAAATGATTTTTACGTCAACATCAAACTTTCACGAATAAATCACGAAAATTTTCCATCCGAGAGAAACCAGAAACGATTTCTCTGTATGTCATGACATTTAATTGATATTTATTCCAAATTTATGTATTCATGCATAACATTTCATGCCCCTACCCTCCCTATATTTATGTTTAAAAAAATGATACCTATAACAATAACATCCCTAATTACCAATCTATCAAAATATTCATTACTCCCATGAAACCCGCGCAAAAAAAAAACTCCGACCCGGAAAATTATGCGGCAAAATATGTTGACACTTTCCATAGCATCTGGATTTCTGAAAAAGGGACTAATCTTGAAAGAGTGTACCCGGGTGGATAAGTTCAGTTACAACCGTGGGGTATCATCTGACAACGGGCGTAAATCAGTAATTCAAGGCGTTGCAAATGATCCTTTGGCAAGACCATCCTCACCGATTATACCGAGATAGAGGGCATATTCACCGTCAGTACATACACAAACGCGTATGCAAGAGAGTAATGTACACCTCCTATCCTCTTTCCTTGTGGCCCTTCTTCATTTACCCCCCAACACTCTTCTACGTGTCAGTGATATGGCTATCGTTATGGGGGATGTTATATTCTGTGTTGGTTTCTCTGTACATGTGTAATACGATATCACACAGCCACCTTGCATGCCACGTTAGTCGTTGACGTCACGCTTCGCTACGTTAAGTATATATTTACATGTGCCTAGGTAAGGTGATCATCCCCCTCCCCCCCCATTTCCCCCCGTACCCCGTGTCCCCCCCACTGTCACCCCCCACTCAACCCTTTCACCGCTCACCCCGTCCACCCCTCGCGAAAAGATATTGTATTATGTAGTAACAATAGATTGTTATTATTTTTTTTATATGTTATATTATGTCGTGTATGATATATTCTGGGGGGTGCGATTGTAATTTTTTTTTTTATTAACGATTGGATATTCAATTCAACACCTGGAAAATTAGGATGAAAACTTTTCAATCAGATGAAAACGACGTTTACCCGTGTGCTGGGGGTAATTCAATAACCCCGTGTTGAATTACTTCTCAGTTTCTCCTATTCAGTTCAATGTGGCATGAAATATATCTCGGGAAAACGTAAACAGGTTCTGAAAAATATCTGTTTACTCCTATGAATTTGTGATTGCGTCGGTTTTGGAATGGCCGGGGAGCTCGTCAATTTTCACTCCTTTCGATTTTTTAGGTCAATTTGATTTTTGGGTTCTTTTGAAAATTAGGATGGCGGAAGAAATATGGAATTCATTTATTGGCGGAGTGTATTTGTATTGGATAATTTCATTATTAAATAAATACGTTTTGATAAGTTCGTGGGATTTTTTATTTATTGAATTTTTGAATTTCAATTGCATTTACTGACCCTTTTTAATTGATATTGAATGAACAATTGTTTTCAATGAAAATTCAGGTGCAAAAATGTCTGAAATTTGCTATAACGTAAAATAAATTTAAAAACCATCCCCAGATAAATAATAACTTTTACAAATGAAGTTCATTAATGAATTAATTCGCGTAATTTGATTGAGCAGAAATTTTTTAGTGTCCGCGTGACTGTGAATTTTTGAATAAATTGTTTAGGATTGATGAATATCGTGATCTTTCGCTTTGTAACTCAGTCCTTGGACTAATGGATTGATCCATGTTCCACGGGATATCACAAATCCCTCCCCGCATACCCCTCGAATGAATATCCATTACGTTTATATGTACATGTATCAGTTTCCCCGTCGATGAAAGCTACTCCGTTTAAATTTAATTCGGATAGAATTGAATGAATGGATTGACCAGGATTGATGAACCATTAAAACTCGCGGGTGAAAATTAACGAACTTTTCCATCGTAACCAGAGCCCTTTTCCCGGGATTCCCTTTTTGTTATCTTATCCTCTATTTTTGCAAAAATTAATACATTTCCCGCATACCAAATTACATTGAATTTTAATTGCAAACGGTAGATTTACCAGAAATCGAGAGATTTTTGGGGATTTATTCAACATTTTTTTAATAACGAATTCCCCAATAATTCCACCGAAGTTCTGATAAATCCTAAAAAAATATGAAAAATACTCAGATCTCTATGGAGTAATTGCGATAAAATTTCAGTATTGACAATTTTTTTCCTGAATTCATAAACTCAATAATTTCCCATCGCTCCCCATTTTTCAATTTCTTTTCAATCAACTGAAATAGTCAATAACGCAGGCATTCCGTTTAGTAAAATGAAATGTTTGCAAGCGATCGTTAAATGGAATGATTCGTATCGGTTTCTCCGGGTGGAGTGTCACCTGATATTCTAGGGACTCTAACGATTCTCGTTACCTCGTAAATTCAGGGATAATTGACGTACAAAGGAGATTCATCAGAATTGAAATGGAATAGGTTAAATATTGATATATCAATTGCTTGTTACCAGGAGTATGCAGCGAACGCAATGAGTGAACTTCTGGGTTGGTATGGCTATGAAAAAGTTGACAGTGGCTGCACCCGGGGCCTGAACCTGGACCACTTCGCCTCGAGTAGTCCCAAGTACCACCTCAATGCCCCAACCCGATTAGTCCCCGCCAAGGTCACATCACCCGGTATACCCCGGAAAAGTCTTTCAAGGTCACCCCCATCGAGGACCTCAAGGTCATCGCCGAGTATTTCCGTGGTGTCCTACAAGGAGAATGTCCTGTCCCAGGCATCTCCACCCTCATCCCTCAGGACAGCACCAGCCAGTCCGAGAATCATCGAGAACAGCGACTCGGCATCTGACACACCTGGTAATTACTATTCTCATCCCTTCAAGGTCAAATATCCGGTAGTTACGTATTACGTGTGACAAATCCGATTTTCGGTGAAAATCCTTTTTCTTACCCAAAGGTCAGGCCCAGGCGGTGGGCGATTTAAAAATATATTTTATATATTTTATATATTTTATATATTCCAAGAAAATTGTTATGATATATTCAGCCTTCTTTGACAGGCTTAATATTTTTAAGGGGGCAAATATATTAAAAATCAACGGTTAATTGATAAAAGACTCGAATTTTGGGAGATACCTGTTTAATTGATTGTTATAAAATAAAATAGGATAATTTCAAAATAATTAAAAAAAAATGAATAAAAATAATGTTCAAAAATAGAAGATAATTGCCAATCTATGCACATTACATAATAATTTGAACATAATAACCCGATCGAGCGTTGACAATGGGAAAACCTACGAATGGAGTTGGCGTACACCCATAGAAATTTCCCAACAACTTTTAAATTTCCGTTTGCCAAAACTATTGGCGGTGCTTTGCCTTGGAAAAGCCCTAAGTTCTTGCAGCCGATCCTCGGATACTTGGAAAGCCACGAAGTGCTCAAGTAGAATACCACCATCTTGAGCCTCGAAAGGTCTTCGGTGTAACCGCAACTGAAGGACCGCATCTATTAAACTTTGCGGAAACTTGCGGAGCGATAATTAGCGACAACCTGTTATTTAACACCTGACATTCTCCCCCTTTGCTAATTGCCCGGTGATGAGCATTTGAAAATATTCAAAGAGGACGATTGAATTACAGAGGGTGCATTTTGGAGTAAGTCATTATTGCACGACAAAGTGAACTAAATTCGGAAACATCGAGGAGAGATTTATTTTTGGACGGAATACTCTGGTTCTGTTTCTTCACATATTTAATGAACTCAAAGGTTGAAAACTCTCTACTATACGTGTCCATCACGGCTGTCTGCACTCCTTGCATTCTCTTGGCTGTTTTGACACTCATTCTCATGGAAAAATGTCTGAATAATTCCAAAAATGCAGATTCTATATATTCCCGCAATATATAGAATATTAAATACATCCTACTTCACTGTCATAATTTATACCACCAATAATAATAATAATAATAATAATAATAATAATAATAATAATAATAATAATAATAATAATAATAATAATAATAAAGTATATATTGAAATATATATTTTCGTTATGTAAAATGACAAATGGGGTACCCTTTGGATTTGTGTGGAGGTATTTCTTGGTGGACCGAGACGTTCCTCTCGATCGCGCGCTTTTTTTTTCTTCATAATAACAGCTGGCTCGTCACCCCGCGAAAAAAAATAGACGTTGAATTTATTTTGGGTGGAAAAAGGGTACACTGTCCGGCTCATTTATCTTTCGTTGACATGTACCAGCAGAGTGAACGAACAGCCACGGAATAGGATAGCAACGGCCAGGTACCAGAGCTTGAAATCCTAGAAGCTTCCGTTGCGAAATGGTTCGGATGAGCAAAAGGTAATCCTTCCATACCCACCCCCTCCAACCCGTGATGTAGCACTTCGTATCAGAAAAGAGAAGTGGAGGTTTGAGAATGTAACTATAATTATTCGACGGCTTGTGACATTGGAGACCGCTGCCTCGTGTTTTTAGTGGATGGACAGCCGTGCAAAAATTGTCGACAACATTCGAGAACGAAATTCAAATCCACAGGGAAAAATACAACTTCGACATCCATTTTTCGAGATTTTTCGATCACTCGAGTCGTCCCATCAATTGTCTACTGTAATTACATTATCATTTTTTACTTTAAACGTTTTAAAAATATAAAAATCTATATCTCGGTTATAATTTTTGGATTATATTCTTCACCGTGGGGATTTTATTTGAAAAAACAACTACCCCATAATCCAAGAGGCTTCCACAATTTGACGGGAATTAATTACATTCTCAATTACTGGAATTCCATTTCCAGCTGTAATGACGCACCACTATCGTCATGATTACAAACAAATGCATGATGAAATATGGATTTTTGCTGCGTGGGTGGAGGAGGTGGTGGTCCATCAAGCAACTTGATACATTGCAACTGGATGACGGTTGAATTTCATCCTGAATACAGCTCGTCTCCATTTCTCTCCAGTATTTTCAGCGATTCATTCCATCCGCACAAACATTATGCGTGTTTTGACTTTTGCACAGATTGTTGATGCCCCACTTGTTTATTAATGTTTATTAATTTTTTTTTTAGCGTGGGACAATATCATCACCAGTCACATCCACTCTACTTCGCTATCCAATTTTCTAATTTACTGACTCGAATCGCGATTATAATGAACATTCCAAAAAATTATATCACTCAATGCCTAATTGACGATTTAATTACATTGACTAATGGGTTAATTGGGGAATTAGATATTCAGACATTTTTTTTCATGATTTTTCCAATTTTTTCATTCACTCTTGGTAAATTTAGTAATGTTCTGGAGAAGCTACAATTTTCAATTTTAATTTATTTTAATTGTTTAGATACAAAAATGTCCATCAGTATTGAAAATTAAAAATAATATAAATACGAGAATGTATACCGTGACCTATAAAAAATGGAAATTGATATTCATGTATTTTTCACGCAGAAATATCATTTCCACGATTCTCATTAATTAATCCTCCACGTAACATTAATTCCATAATGATCCATTCGCAGGTACTTCATGTTCGCACAAAATTAAAGAGTGATTTTTAATTGGAGGTGATATGCATAATACGTGATTCAATGGAAAATAATGGCGGTATTCAGTAAATGATTGTTCAGTTAATTTTTCTCATGAAATCGAGTATTTTTTTTTTCCTTTCCTACCTAATCAAATTTGCCATCTTCTACGGCTCCACCCATGGTATCATGGAGATATCACGAAAATATCCGTGAATTGATTTGGAGAGAGCTTCATATGAAATACGAGTCAAAATTGCGCGGTGCTGAAAAAATATTCAGTAGTACATGAAATTCGATAATAAACATTAACTTCATGGGATTCATCCATTGGTGGAAGTACATTCCTTGAAATTCGAGATATTTATCGATTATATCGAAGACCTAATGAAAAATAATTAATTTGACCCCATTAATTGAAAATTAAAAACTGAATTAAAGTGAAAACATAGGAAATTAAACTTGATAAAGTTCAATCAATAAAGATGAGTGAATAATTTAGTTTACAGACAATTCGTAATATTGGATAGTATAGATGAATGTCGAATTGTTGATTTGCATATATTTTTATTTCAGATAGTTCGACGTGTTCGTGGTGTGGACGTGCTGGTGGTGCCTGGGAACCGGGTTCAGCTGGTTCAATGTCATTTGGTGTTATAAACAATTCAGGTCGTTTCTGCAGTGAAGCGTGCTTCGCAGCAGGCAGACGTGCTGCATTCAAAAGAGCCAGAACTTGCGACTGGTGCAGGCACGTCAGACATTCCGTCAGTTACGTTGACTTTCAGGTAAATATTCTCCACAAATATCCACCAGGGATAAATGAAAAAATGTCTATTGCAAAATTCAAATTCGAATTGTCTCTCAGGATTTTTTCTGCTCAAATTATTATGCAATTTAAAAAATAATAATAATCATCATGATTTTTCACTCGAGTTATCATTCGTCATGTGATATAATCTCAAAGAAGATTTTACGTGAAATGTTATGCGTAAATAATTGATTAATTAAAGTGTTCCGTCATTTGCAGGACGGAGAGAGTCAGCTTCAGTTCTGCAGCGACAAATGCCTAAATCAGTACAAAATGAATATTTTCTGTCACGAAACGCAGACACATTTAGCGCTGCATGGGATAAGCACATCATCGCCATCGGCTTCATCGACGAATCCATCGAACTTGGGTGGTTTGATAACGCCAGAGCTGTGGCTCCGAGACTGTCGATCTCCACCACCGACCCCAGAGGATCCCGACGAAGATCCATTAATAGTCGACGACGAGCCTCACGATCCCGAGGAGGCAGCCCTGACAGTGACAGGACTGGTAGATCAGGAGATGTCATCACCGACGATCGACGTGGAAGAAGCGACAGTTGAGGAAGCGATAAAGGAATCCCTGAAGGAGGAAGAGGACAGGAGATTACAATGTCGAAAGAACGAGTGCTCATCGAAGCCCAAAGATCCGGAGGACAGCGATGAACAATTGGAGCCAAAACCCAGCAGTCCGAAGGACTCGAGAAAGCCAAAGCCCCAGGAGAACTGTATTCACCTGAAGGACATGAGAAAATTGCTGTCGAAAGGGAGGCAGATGACCCCAAAGCCCAGGAAGTGGCTGGGTGATTCCATTCAACTGGAGTCTCACATCCCCAGGTCCACCCCTGACCTCCAGAATCATCAAAACACAAGAAATTATACTCCCCATCCTCAGAATTACCGTCAGCAGATAATGGGGATGATGGGGCCACCCCTCCACTCGTATCACCCTGGGTTACCGCAGATTAATGCACCGCAGACAGGACTTCTGCCTCCTGTCACCGTTCTAGTCCCCTATCCCATACCTATACCCATTCCCATACCCATACCCATACCAATTCCACTGTTTGGCAAGTATTTTCAGCCTCAGAATGATAAGGATGATACGAGATGTGAGGGCAATGAGGCATCCGCGGAGAGCCCTCAGGATCTATCGAAGCATCGGAAGTTCGAGGACTGCAAGAATTCGGAAGAAAATTTGAGGACTGATGAATCTGGCGGAAGTATTGTGGCTAGTTCTTCTAGTCTTGATGGCGTGGGGAAGGAGAAAATAGTCAGTTTGAGGAGACCTTTGAGGAAGAGACGGCGACTCTCGGGGGCACATCCTGACGATGTCGAGGGGAGAATCAAGAGGAGGAGCAAAATAAATGTGTAAACTCTGGGGACGGCCTCGATTATTCGGTCATAAAAAGGAAAATTTTATAAACTTCAGATGGAATCGTAATATAATTCTTAGAGGAACGCTAGGTTTTTCTGATAAATTTTTTCTATTTGTATTGTTCAGGTGACAGCGCAATTCTATGTGAATGGAATCTTTCGATGCAGAAAATCTCTTCACAAGAATGTCAATTAAGCTCTGAAAAGATGAGTGAAAAATGATACGGGTCACGTTCATATGTTTTGAATGCCTATTATGTTTTAATGTTTCTTCCATGTGGGACGCAGAATGCCATCGATTCACTCCCGACACATCTGCGCAAGTGCCTGCGCACGTGACACATGCGCATTCCGTTGTTTTCATTTGGAGGTGAATGCGATAAGAACCGAAAATTTTGAATTTTCGAAGAGAATCGACAGCCATTTAATGAACTCACACGTGAGAAAAAATTAATAGAAAATCCCAGAGTTTTTTGTAAGAATTTCGAAATTTATGGGTTGCAGGTCGTCTTAAGAAATTAATTTTGATTTACCAAGTGTTCAAGTAATTTCGTCTTGTTTAAATGCTGGATGACGTTATTAGTGAGGATTTGGCAATGATTTTATTGTCACTGAAGCTTTACTCGATAGTTCACTGTTAATTAGTGATTAATGTTGATTATATTTGATGATTTTTACGTACCGAGTGATATGTAGATCAATTGATTTCTTCATTGTTGCATTGTTAGGTGCCTAATACGATAATTGTTTTTACACTTGGTTAAAAGATCGTTAAGATTTATGTTATTCGTCGTCTTTGTTTTTGTATATATTTATATGTGATTATTTGTGAAAGGTACGTTGAAATGAAACTTGTACAAAATAATTTTGAAACGGAATTCAATGATTTAAACGAGTCGTTTATGATGACCATAAAAATGAATCAGATCTTCATGAATTTTGTGGTATAAAAAAATATAATCTGCTTGAAAGCAATTGTATTATTCTCTCTTTACATACAAAACAATAATCAGATACAGTTTCGTGATTCATCGATTTCGCGTTGGTTTCGGGAAAAAAAATTCATTACAATATTTCATTGAGTCACTGATTGTAGAGATCCCACAGTGACACAGTCCCATCTTTTCCAGTTGCTGCCATCAAGTTCTTGTTGTTGTGCGACTCAACCTTCTCCATTGAATAAATAATATCAAAAATAGTCGATCTGTGTTGATCTAGTACAGCCAATGGTCGCAGGGTTTTCCAGGAAAATATACGGACTCTGCCATCCGAACCGCCTGATGAAAAAACTTTCGAATCTTGTCGTGATGCAATAACTGATATACCAGCATTTTTTAATGAGATTGTCGTCTTGTGGATGAGTTGATCAGTTTTTGAGAGTTGGAAAACCTGAATAATTGTAAAACACAATGAAAGACAAGAAAAATTTGATATCAATTCAGTGAATGCATGAGAATAATGTCGAGCGAAATAAATCCGACTGGATATTTACCTCTAATTTATCAGTCGGATTACCAATAATTCCTCTCATCCAGTAATTATCGAATGTCATCGCCATTGGGCAGGTTTCAGTCTCAAGCCGACTGTTCACAGCCATCCCCTTGACGTTCCAAGCTGCTATGGTACCACTCTCGTAAGCAACAAGAATAATATTATCCTGGAGACCGCAATTTTTTATAGCCATCACTTCACCCAATGGTTTCTCCAGAGAGATCTGGGATGGATCCAGTTTATTCACAATGCTGTTACTCTTCAACGAGAAAATCCCCACCTTGGAGCTTGGAAGTGGCAGGAGAACGAGATCATCAGACAAAATCTGTGATCTACATTATTGGAAACTCATTATTATTAATCAATTCATTTTAAGATATTCGGAAAATTCAAACTCTGTTTCACCTGCAAAATCCATGATACTCGGTGTCAATTCTCTTTTCGAAAATCCAGTTTGAGCCATCAGCACTCCATAAATCTACACCTCCACCTTTTCTTTGTACAATCAGGTATTCATCACCAAGGGTGTGCAGCGAAAGGCACTGCTCCTTGTTAGTATCGCTTATTTTCAGTTTTGATGTCTGTCGGTGTTTCTAATTGAAAAGAAGAAAATAATCTAAAGTCCGGGTACAATATATCCCATTCGATAAGAAATTGGCTCTTTACATTTTCAAAGTCAATTCTATAATTCTATTCAGGTGAAATCATTGACTTTATCGAAACTCAATTTGTCGATCTATTTTTATCGAACTTGAATGGGTTTAAGCCCCACAACGTAAATAGAGGTGACAATGCGTAAGCTTTCAGTGAATTAGAACAGGTGAGTCATTTCAACCGGAAAATATCCATTGATTTTTCATCAACCGATGACTCTTTGAATAAATAAGATTACGTTTACGAAGATCTGGAGAAGCTTCATTGAAAAAGATAGTGCTGTACCCCCAAATTATCCATTTTTTTATTAGAATTCTACTGGAATCCTACTAACAATGCGGGCAATTAAGATAGCAAATAATTCCGTTAATGAATATTTTAATTCCACAGTCTCTTGATTTTCATCAAAAAAACATAAACAAATTTTCACCTCCTTTCAAGTGCGAGAATAAACAATAAAGAATAACAGTAAATTAAATTTCAATAAAATTTTTTCACTCAGGAATAATGTATTCTTAATTAGTCAAGAATAAAATGACGTATTGATTAACACATTCTCATGACGCGTTGCGTTCACCTGGATAAACAAAAAGACGAATAAACAATTACCTTCAAGTCCCAGATATGAACGTTTCCACTCTCAGTCCCGGCATACAAATGCTCAATGTAAGGTGAAATTCTGAAGAGGAGACTGTGAACAGGACCCATATCTCCTCGAAAAACATAGACCGGATCGGGTGGCAAAATTGCCATTGTCAATTGTTGCCAATCACCGGTTTATCGCCAAAATAACACAAACGACGCAGTGGATAATTTATATTGGAAAGGGTTATACCTGTCACTGGGGATGGATGGAGTACACCATAGAAGACGGGAGGTACACGACACGCCAGATGATCAGGGGTATTTCCTGGATATTTTTTAATCAACTGGTTTATCACGTTGTGGACTTTTAGCATCGCTGTCAAGTCGTTATTGTCCGAGGAATTGAGGATCTTTTTTTCACACGGACGCGTCCATCGAACCTCCCGTCTTCTATTCCTGATGATCAGCAGACACCGGTCTGGTATCTAGTGTCATTTCCCTCAACTTGCCAACAGCTGCTTCTGCGCCAATCCCAATTGCTACCAACGTCACAGATTCAAATCTTTTAAATTATTATACCGTCAATTTATTTTTTATTATTTGAGAAAACTCAGTAATCGCTGCATCGCTATTTATTTCTCATTCTCCAATTTTCAGGGGAAATTACTGGAAATTTCATGGAATGTCAAAGATTAGTATGAGTATTTGTAATTTCCCGCTCCTCAGGTGAGACTGATGCTGAGAGATGGCGTTCCGAGTTTTAAATTTGAATTGCCATTTATTTGTATGGGAAGTTTGAGAAAATTATATGAATATTGTTTGGTCCAGTCGGTTTTTCAAAATATTAAATCCTTCGGTGGATGAATAATCGGAAATTTACACTTGATCTCATCTGTAATTCATATTAACATAAAAAAATTATTCCCTAAAACGAACGAAACGCTGGAAATTTCTCTATGAAATTCCAATTAAAATTCCTGTCTCAGATCAATGTATTTTGCACTAATAAATTAATTAATTGATTCATTTGTCAGTAATAAAATGAGCAAGTAAGTAAATTTTTCGACATTTAAAAATCGAAACCAAAATGGAAATCAAATCGATTCCTAAACACATAATTTCTCAATTAAATAAAGTTAATTTATTGGGCAATTAAAAAAAATTATTTATCACTGACACGATATTAAAAAATTAAGTGAATGATTCGCCGAACAACAAACAATTGCCTTGAAAACATAAAAAAACCGATTTGCAAAAAAAGAGATTTACCAAAATGTCGGATTGAATCGAAATTTTCCAGTAAAATTTTCCTGGCATTCCCATATAATTTCAGTTTAACCCAAGGTTTACCCCACACCCCATGAGACATAAAAACGCTATTGATCGATTGAGGCATTTATTATTCATTTATTTCTCTTTTATACATATATACTCTCATATATTTTTCTTGTTACGTGAGAATTTCTGGAGGTTGTCATCATGTTATTTGTATTGTTTTGAATAGTGTCAATTATTGGTGACACTGTCAAGTAATATATTATAATTACCCACATCGCTTTATCCACAATAACGTTTATATTTTAAATGACATTACATCAATCATTCATGGGTTATTACTGTAAGGTAAGTATAATGTTTTTTTTTAATTTTTCATAAGTTTTTTTTTCATTATCACTCATTATAGTAAAATATACACATAATTCATATTCATCGTTGAGTAATATATTATTGATATAATATATCGATTTTTAAATATCAACAATTGCAAGCTAGCTACTATAATAATTTTCATGCGCATCGAGACCCTCAGTCTAATGAAATATTCAATGAAGAACATTGACAAAAAAAATTACTACTATTCTATATCGACTTGAAGAATGAATTCTGGAAGTTTTCGTATTGAAATGTAGAAAAAATAACTATCAAATTCCCCACTACCTTTTTTTTCTCAAAAGTAATGAAATACTCTCTATCTAAAATAAATATTTCTTTCCCTCGTCAGTTAGGCGGAGGGTCTCCATACGTTGTACATATGTATATAATTACATTATTCATTTTATTGTTAATTATTCATTTCATTTCATCTGGTTAATTATGGGAATCTGTACTCATCTCTCCTCTACTATTTGTCTCTTGGGATAGGAATCGATTGACATGTAAACTCTTGAACTGTAAATTCAGTTGATTGTATCATTTCATTAATTTCAATCATCGATCAATCAACTTGTTGATCCATTTTTTTTTATTAACAGAGTTATCGGGATCACGCCAAAAATACATAATCGTCGTAACTCTTATCATGATTCGTGAGAATATCATATATAGTTCATTTTTTTTTTCTTTACTTTTTATTATTTGTGAGCAGTCTTTAGATGGAGTTATATTGGTGCACGGAGATAAATTTAGATTTAAATTTACATTAACTTTCAGTATTTTCACAACAAATTGGCATGAAACAAATTTTAACCGCGTACCATTTTTATCGAACTTATCGTTTTCATTGGCATTACCAATATGTGAAATTAAAAATTTCTCACAACCAATCTGTCAAACAATTACTAAAAATCAGCGTAATACTGTAAATTTTTCTCCGTGTGTTTCGATAAACAATTGTTAACTACCGGGAGTGAATTGTAATGTCTCTAAATGAATAAAAAAAATGAAAAAAAAAAAGAACGTAATATCTCGTGACGAGAATTATAACTGTAATAACTGTTGCCTGACATGTGACATGTGAAAAAATTCATAGAAAACGTTGAATTTTTCCACAGGCATAACGAAAATAAATGTCAGCATGCAAAACTCATCGATAAAACACGTCAGCTGTTTTAATAACTATTTGTATCAGTTAAGAGGGCACACGTTTTATGATGCCTTCTGCCCCACCCATTATTAATCCTTTTTAGCGCCTGTAACATCCGTCGTTAAAGATTGTCATCGGCTCTATAACGCCACATCATTGTTATTTATATTAATATCGAATTTCATTGGAGTTGCAACAGTCGGTTGCCATTTTTTAATCATTAAAAAGGGAAAAACTTTCATTTTCGGGCGACAACGGATGATATCATCTGATTAAACCTCACATAAAAGCTGAATTATTAATAATCATTTGTTTATTCACGTTATATATAATTGTGATGGAGTTGATAAACCGATAAATGATGGCGGGGGTTTACGTGAATTAAGATTATTTATTCATTATCTTTATCTCGAATATACTTTGGGGAGTTGTTTAGGTTTAAAATGTTGTCCTCTCGAGGCGATCAGCTGTTAATAATTTTTCATTTTGTTATCGACACAGAAAATTGTTTAATTCTTACATCTAGAAAAAGCAGGTACATATAGAGACAGGTCTTTCCTTGGAGTGTTTCAGATTATATTCAAGACACGACATTTTGTTTTTTTTTTTGGGGTTTTCTTAGCTTTTTTTTATTTAATTTTGATTCATCAAAATAAAGAGTGGAAAATTGGATGAAAAATAAGGGTAGATCGATATTTTTATGATGAGCGTTTAACAATAAACTTTTTTATTGATTTTTTTTGCTTTTGAGCTGAGACGTCTCGTTAGAATCTCTTGGGAAAATAAGTTGCCGAGATTTTCTAACGAGGTTTGCATTAACTATGCTGCCGCATATCACTTATCGTCTAATTTTTAGTTCTTTTTTTTTGGTTTTTTTTTTGGGTTTTGGAGAGAATTAACAGTGATTTTTTGACAATCGTAGCTCGTTTCCTTCGGTGTTTTCTCTCGTCGAAATTATTGACTACTTGGAACATTCGGATTAAGTTTTAGTCGTGTGATATATGATCAAACCTCTGTTTTGGTAACACCCTGTCAGGATAGGCCACAGATCCATTGAAAATATTATTTATATTCTGAATTAGCTTCCAAAATTATTCTCGCCGGTGAGATTTCAACGCGGAGAGAAATTCTTCAGAAAGAACGAGTAAAAATTCACTCAAGTCCTGCAGAACAAATATTTCATTCAAAATTTCTTTCAAAAAATGAATAAAATCTCGTTTCACTCAGTTCCATTACCTTCATTAATTATAGTAATTAAAACGAAAGGAAACCGTGAAATATCTGAGTACGGTAAGTTGTAAAAAAAAAATTGAAGTACATCGAATTAACAAATCTCCGATAATTAAAAAATATTCAACTGTAACCACAAATTCAATCATAAATAACAACGAATTTTTACGAAAAAAAATAAGTTCTGATAAATTCCTCTCCGTCGAGATGTTCTCCTCCCTCTCGATCACTAGTAAATAAATAATCGACGGATAAAAAAAGGCGCATATTTGTTTTTTAATTTAGGTAATGATGTCGTAATTAAAGGGATGGGAGTGAAGGGATTACTAGGCCAGCTTTCAGGTTCTTACATATTTTAATCCACAATCGGTGGAGATAAAAAAAATATGAGAATATATCTATCAGAGAAAATATTATCTTACGTATGTCACTGCCTCGATCTTTTCCAAAAACGATTGGTCGCTCGATTAAAAAAAAAACGTCGACACGTTTTATTTCCCTGTTCCCATGATTCCGTCAGGCTTCTCCTGTGGATTTATTGCATTGCGATGGTGTGTGAATGTTTTGATGATCTCAGAGGGTGAGATGGACCTTCAAATGACGTGTGTACTTGAAAATGTCATTAAAAATAGTGATATCGATTTCATAGACTCGCTTCGATGCTCGATTCATCCGAAGAGACTTTTTCAAAATTCTCTTCTCAATGGCAATCAATTTATTATCAGCCCCGAGACAAATTCCTTTTTTATTAATAAAAAAAGAGAAAATTTCTTGATGTTTCGTGCAATAAAAATCAATACGCAATTCACCCTTTTGTTATTGCAGTTGTTTTTGGAAAATAGAATGCAATTTTTACCAAAAATTGGAGGGAGAAAGGAGCAGAAATTTTTAGATTGCAAAAAATTTGTTCTTTCTTTCATAAACAAATTCCCCGGAAATATAGGGATTTTTAGTTCTTAATTAAAATTGTAATTACGATGGAGTGAGGATTGCAATTGAAATTTTTTGGTAAAAATGGCAATTATGATCTTTGTTTTTAACATCAAGAAATTTTTTATCTGTGAGCGATTGTGAATGATTGAAAATTAAAAAGCTGTTGGGAATCTACGAGATGCGAAATAATGAAAAATAAAAATTCAACAATTAACAGAACAACGTTATTTCAATTAACTGTTATTATTTCCGTTTTGATACAATTATTATAAACTATACTATCTCAGCTAATTACTCGATAATTAGTCATGATTGGCGTATATACAGTTACATGGATTAAACTCATATTTCTCAGTGACACAACAATAGAATACTGATGATTTCTCTTGAATGCGATAGAAATGAGAGATAAAAATAGAACAATGCGGAGAACAAAATAAATTTATCGAGATATAAATGAATTTCCCAAGGGATTAATATACGCCGGGGGAAAACTCATCAATAATTTTCCGTGATCGAATGAAAAACCGATCGCTCTATCTAGAAATTGAAAATGAAAAAAAATTAATATTTGGTTACGGATTAATAAATTTTTTTGTATTAATGAAAAAATGGAACAGGATCATTTTTCCTGAGAGTAAGACATTTAGTTCTGCGAGGAGAAATTGGATATCTATTTTATAAATGAAATTGATTCAATGAAATGAAAAAAAAAATTAGATCAATCGAATCAAATGAAAAAATAATGAAAAGTACGTGAACAGGAAGAATTATGGGTGAACAAAAGTAACATAGAAAAACAATTGGAGTGCTAAAGGAATTAATGTATTGTCTTTAATGTACATAATTAGGATGTGTATGTAAATACACTCGGCGTCAGTCTGTATAATCAGTCAGAAAATATGCCGTTGATCGTTCAAACGCTCACCGAGAGGAGAATATCATTTTAATCAATGAAATTATTCATAAATAAACCACCGAGTTCCGCAAAAGTTTAAAAAAAAAATCTCCAGTGGATGTCAGCTAAAAATTCCAGTGGATACGCAATTTTCTGCGGAATTGGATTCGCAGTCATTTGAAATTCAAAATAGAATCCGCTTGATTTCGAGTTGCGATTTACATTTACAATTAACTGTGATTAATTCTTCAATTGAAGTGTGTACCGATGGAAATGTGAAATTTCGAGGGTGAAATCGTTCAGAATTATTTTGCAAATCTGGAGGCACGAACTTTCCGTTGTTTTTGGATAAAAATTGAATTTAATCAACAAATTGACCTTTGGTATTTCTCTGTTTACGTGTAGACTGAAATTATCATATCAAAATTTGATGCACACCCCAACTGTTCCACGTGGGTTATTACATGCACTAGGAAAACGCCTGGAGGAATTATTTCAACCCGGGGAATTCAAAATAGTTAGTAATCATTTCCCACATTTCAACATTTCCCTTTGGATATCTATTTAACAAATACAATATTGCTATGAAATTTATTTAAAAAAATTGTAGTCTGTTATAAAATGGGAAAACTGAAATCCACTGAACAAAAAAGGTAATTATCTCGTACACGGTGAAATAGTTTGTTGATCATACGGCAGCCAAAGAGCTAGAACTACAACAAGCTAAACTCAACAACAATCTAATTTATAATAAAACACGGTCAACGGGTTGATTTTTAATATTGTACATAAGTCTCATAACTCGAACGTAAGTGAATAATGAAAAAAATTAAGTAAACATTTGGGATAAATTGTGTATTTGACATGAATTCATTTATATTTCACATGACTATGTGTGCAGTGTGTGAGTGACAGCATGGATTGACTTAAGTTCCAAATTTTTTTGGTTCAGCTCTCGATAAATATCATATTCAACCAACAAATGAGCGTTAATAAATTACATCCCACTCTTTCAATCAATTACAATACATACGACTATTCCTCTCTCATGTTACGACCGCGCCAGTATCGGCAGATTGCAGGGTGCGTATAGGTTGCAATGCGAATATCTTATCAATTTTCAAAAACAGAAATTATCAGAAATTCCACTTCTCCCTCAGATAATTCTCTAAATAAATTGTTATTCCATCGGCTTCACAGTTCTACCGACATTACGAATCTCTTTTTTGCAATTGAGAATGAAAAAATACCAAAATTACGTAAGTGGAACGAAATTCACAGAATTATTTAATTAATTTCATCATTACTTCAATCAAATTGGAAATTGAATTCGCTTTCATTATCTAAAAATCCCGTGATTATTGCGTCGAAAAACAAAAATGAAAATGAAATGAAATTCATGGAATTATTTAAGTAACTTTATTATTAATTTAATCAAATTGGAAATTAAATTCGGGGCCATCAGCTAAAAGCAGATAATGAGAGGAGGATCGCATGTGGTTTATAATTACACCAATAAATATTCATGTCTTGACTGACTAAAATAGCTCGTTACTCGTCTAATCTCCTAATGATCAGTCTGAAAATCCTCCGAGGTTGTCATTAAAAATCCGTAAAACTGTCGTATCCCCGTGAAAAATAAGAATCTCCCCTATTCGCTCCCGAGGCATACTGGAAAACATTTTCCCGTCGGAGAAAAACTTTTTCGATTACCCTGAGAGGCGTAATTACACCGTGGGAAAGTTCCGAGCCATAGATTTACGATTATCTCACAAGCCGTGGATTTCCCCAGATATTGCCAAATACAATTTACCTCTCATTATCAAAATGCTGCATCAGAATAAGAGCCGAATAAAAATATTAATTAATTGGAGTGAATGACTGTCAAAATAAAACCGCAATCGCCAAAATTAATACCAAAATCAACCCCGACGGAATTATTTATTTAAATATTGCAGTAAAAATCACACCTGTGACTACAACCATAAAATACAATAAAAAAACAAATCCAATAGTTGGTTGAATGTAATTTTACGTACAATATCAAAATAAAAATTGGACTATAAATTTTTTTTTTTGCATGTAGATTGATCGACGTGTGTTATTGCCACGCAATCGTTTCCATTCGAAAAAAAATGAACAACAATCGCACCTGACGAATGAATTACTCTCACCTGCATCCCTTCAATTATTGGGCTATTTATCTATTTATTTAATCTCATCTTTATTGGAAAGCCTGAACGAACCCTGATCTTGGTGTGTTACTATCACGATCGAACTTGATTTAGGTATATAAACCCTATACACTCTATGCTACAGTCATAGTCTCAGTCGACTCGAACTAACGTAGTATCGAACTGTCGAGTTATATTCAATCGAATTTATTGACTTTTCCCCCGTTATTATTTCTGATTAATTCATTTCTCCCCAAGATTCATGTTGGAAGTCTTTATATAATCATCTGCTTCTTACGATAATATTTTGTTATTTATTCACGATTAATATTTACTTCCGGTCCGATTTATCGTTCAGATAGAATTTTTCTGTGCGAGGGTCAGGATAATTGAATTATTAAATTTTAGCTGGACATCAAAGACTCGTGTTGCCAGCGTATCGTACAGGGGATGGACGTCAGGGCCAAATGGAATTTTTATTTTAAAATAAAAATATATTTTCGATTTACGCCATTCGGAGAATTCCACGGGAAAACCGCGGAATTTCTCGTTGTAATCTGCAATATTTTCAATTTTTGCAGTTGAAATATTTCCTGCAATAATCGACGTAAAAATAAATAAACACAATTTTGAATAATTATTCTTCAAGTGTGAATATTGATACAAGAAAAATTGCGATTGATAAAGTGGCGTATGTAAAATTATAAATAATTGATAAAAAAAATGTTGGTTTGCCCCGCCCACCCCTGGAAACGTAGTGGATTTAAGTTTATTAATTATGACAATTTTATTTCATCCCCATTTAATGCTATAAAATTGGATCTAGTTATGGGAATGGAATCAACTGTGGAATTACCGATCGATCGCGGGGGATTTAATTGGGGAGTCAAATGGTCATAACGTGCTTCAATATTCATGGAAATGGGCAGTGAATAGAGGGTACGCGTGAATGCGGGCTAATATTATTTTTAAATATTTTCTTATCCCTGGGGAAGTGAAAATTTACCAGTGCACTACCCAAATTTTGACCTTTCGTCGGGATGAATGAATCGCTGAGGTGGAGTATTTTCCATACCAACCGGAAATGATTAGTAGCAAATGGTGAGAGGAGATGAGACGGAAATGACGTGCGTCTTATTTCGTGAATAGAGTGGGTTTGGAAAATTGACTATTTTGTGCTAAAAATGTGTTTTTGAACAAAAAAAACCCGTGAATCATATTTTTTGCAAGCGTTCTCTACATCTTTATGGATAGGTAGAACACGTAAAAATGAGTGGTCTTGAGTCAAGTTGAAAATCAAGTCGGGTTGAATCAGGCCGTGAAAAGGCATCTGCTTGACTCAAGTCAATTTTTTCACTTTATTTTGAATTGATATTGCGGTTTCATTCAAGTGGATTATTCGGGTTTATTCAACGAAATTTATCGGTTTGATTTGAGTCAATTTTTTGACTTGATTCAAGTTGGTTTATCGGCATCACTCAAATTCATTTTGCAGCTTGATTCAAGTCAATTGTATGGGTTTGATTCAAGTTGATTTGTCGACTTGATTCAAGTCAATTTTATGAATTGATTCAAGTTGATTCGTCAACTTGATTCAAGTCAATTTTATCAATTGATTCAAGTCAATTGTATGAATTGATTCAAGTCAATTGTATGAATTGATTCGAGTCAATTGTATGAATTGATTAAAGTTGATTTTTCGACTTGATTCAAGTCAATTTTATGAATTGATTCAAGTTCATTTCTTGACTTGATTCAACTCAAATCTATGAATTGATTCAATTTGATACATCAACTTGATTCGCCTTAATTGCCCCATTTAATTCACATAAATGACTCAAATCAATGAAAGTTGATTCGTCGACATCGTGAAGTCAGACTCCCCGACTTGACTTGAGTCAAGTAAAAATCACGCAGAATCAATGCAACATCACCTCGAATCAGTTTATATTCCTTGAATGATAATGCTCTATCCAAGCGAAGAGTAATAATCGATTGCTCACGAACATCCGATACACCACTCGTAATTTCTCCCACAATGTGCGCCCATGTTTGCACTATCGCTAGGAATTGGTTAATTTCATCGAAATAATCCCACGACTTTAACGATCTTGCCATCAGCAAAATGAATTATTCAACCCAGCAAACACAGATAAGCAAATGTAGGTAATCAGTGAACTGCCCAATATCAGCGCATACAAATTTTTATCCATCATCTCAATGTGACAGCCTACACATTGTTCATTTGATTATCATTGTTTTGATAAATGCTCCTGAAAATGTCAACTGAATCTCGTCCAAGCGGATCCAATATTCACTATTGACCTGATTAAATCGATCAACCGAATAAACATCGACTGGTAAAACTCAACATCCAATTCGCCAATGAAAGAAAAATTCAAACGATCAATAGAAACAAATGGTAAATAAATACTCGAGCGTGCGGCGAATGTGCGCTACGGAACATCAAATGTCCTCTCAAAAATCACTTGGTTATTTCATTTTTATAATTATTTTCATCATTATTTTCATAATTATTTTCATGATTATTTTCAGTCGCTATTATCTAATAATAATGCTCTCTAGTTTTTGTTAGGGTATTAGATATATTTTAGGTTGTGGGTTTCATAGTGTCGTGGGAGAATTTCATTGTCAAGTTTTGAATTGTGAATATCGCGTTTTTGTTATAGAAACTCCAATAGCGAGGTTTCGAGTGGCTCAGAATGAGAAACACCCACCAAAGTAAATGCCTCCCATCACCCGTTGTTCACTACTGGGATGTACTCCAATTAAATTTCACCATTTTTTTTTTGCTCGTCAATTTTGACGCTCGTGTTACCAATGAAATTCTGTCCCATCGGCCCAGCCTCCTGAACCCCTTAATTATCGGTTAATTAGACATTAATTGAGAACAACTATGAAATTTCAAATATTGCCATGAACCACCAATTATTATATCCAATTAGATTCAATGAAATTCAATTATTTCTAAAATTATTTATTCAATTACCGAATATATTTCACTACACTGGGTCTAACCCACAACTACTTATCCTCTACTTCCAACTACTCTTAATTTCCGATTTTTTTTTACTTTCTCCATCAACTTTAATCAACATTAAATTAATTACACTCATTTACTTGATCTCCACGCGCACGTAGAAAAATTTGAAATAAAATTTTCCCTGACTTTTACTGATCGCGTGAATTATTGACTGTTAAGTAATCTTTACCCTGACATTGCGGTAAAAATTACGATTACTTCACGGAAAGTTTTCCCATAAATATCGCAACTGTAACTGCAGCCCAAGAATTTAAATTTCTCGCCAGTCATTTCCACCAAATGCCAGAGTAAATTATCGGAAAAATAATCATTCGCCGCAGTCGCGAGTTAAACATCGAAACAACTAAAAGCGAAATAAAAAGATAATTGAAGGGTTAAAATAAACCGAGAGAACGTTAGACGAAGAATCTTACATAAATGATGCGATAGTTTTTTCGCAGGCGTGATGGGAATTGCTTCTATTAATGTCGTTCAATGCAAATCGTTACAATTGCATTCATGGACAAAATTACCTTTGGCCTTGTTTAATTGATTGTGGCTTGGGGTTATAGGTACTATTCGAGACAACCTTTAACACACACTGACGTAAACAACTTACGTAGAGTGGAACTAATATAGGACAGTAGGCCATGATAAATTGTTGATAAAAAAGAATTCTGTTATGGAAATAAAAATTCAATCTAAAAATTGAAGTATCGCAACTTGACGATTTGGCATTGATTTTTTGGCTTCTAATTTTAGTCGTTGGGGAAAAAGGGGTGAGAAGGGGGTGAGAAGGGGGTGAGAAGGGGTGAGAAGGGGCGATAAGGGGAAGAGAAGGGGAATGACGGGGAATGAAGGAGAATGGAGGGGAATGAAGGGGTGCATCAGTGGGCAAAAAGTAAATTAGAGGGGAAAAAAAAAATGGCAAAGTGCAGGAGAACGGTCGGCGACCCGATTTACTGCTATAGCTTTCATCGATTTACAATTTTCTTTTCTTATCAACCTTCTTACATTATTTTTCACTTCTAAATGTCATTACTAGATCCGCTTGTGACTACAACCAGTTTGACCAGCGTCAGGCTATTCCCTGGGACTAGCAACACGCAACTTGAATTATTTATTCCTAGGTGTCTACGTAAGCCTCAGGATAACTCTAGATTCGAGTGTGTAATGCTCAATGTTGAAAAATACCTTGCGATCGGTCATTATTCTTTGCGTGACGATCGACATACTGCTCAAACCGATGAGAAGCGCGATTTTGGCTTGGACAAATTGATAGATTAGATCGCTTTCAACAGCTTGACTTTTTCGTCTGTGAATTATTCATCAGCTAACACTGCAAATGCGTCAGAATAATAAATTTATCAAATTCAGGAGACTAAGTTGGCAATTTTTATTCTTCGTTTTTCAAGGCGAGCAACTTTTGGCGACAATGGAAACTACTGCATTCCGATGTTTCACCTTTTTTCTTTTCTTCACGATTTTTTTGAGAAATTGATTATTACTCGGTCACTGATCAACATTTTTCACTGGAAGTACACCTCCGGATTTTGGTAATTTATCGGATTTATTGAAATTTATTGAAATTTTTAGGAATTCGGCAATTTTTCATTTCAAGTGGAAATCCATCGGAATTTTTGATTTCCCGTAAATTTACTCTGACGCAATAAAAATCAGAAGCCACAAAATTTTCCATTTAAAACCAATCATTATCCTCTATTAAACAATCTCTTAACAATTTTCCGATTTCCTCCATCCAATACTCTCAACAAAATTCAATTGCCATAAACAAATAGCCTCCAATTTCCATCTAATCATCTCTAATCCATCTCGATATAATTATTACAATGATAACTACAGCGTCAGAATAAATTTCCCATCAATTCCTCTCTCCATTCTGTATTTCCAAAAAAAATAATTCGACGAAATGCACAAGATCCATTGGCCCGAGGCATTTGCCCAGGGTTTGACAACAGAAATGACAAACTGATTGGGAAAAAAAAAATTGTCGTGACGAGAGAGCATATAGGCATTGGCAAAATGGTACAAGCGCATGAGACACGAAAGCGTTGAAAAAAGAAGGCAAATATATAGGTATGCAGACGATCGAATGTTGCCCCGGGTCGTTGCCTTCGGGATGTGGTTATGCAAGATTGAGAGAAAACGAAAGAAAAATTGATGATTTGCCATTCTCTCCTTGCCACCCACCCACCGCCCTGAAAAAGGCCTCTACATTATGGCAGCGTTACTCCAACTACTGGATTTTTTTTTTGGGTCTCAGCCAACGTTCGACTTCGGCGTTCATCACTACGTGTATGTACAAATACCGGAAAACTTCATATTCACATGTGAGCCAAGTTTGCTAAACGCCCGAACGAACCAGAGACATTTATCAGAGTGAGGAGCTACTCACTCGCTGATTCATTGACACCCATTACTCCAAAACCAAATCGACATCCAAATCTTCGGCTCATTTTCGATTTTATTCCACTGACTCTAGTAAAAAATTGACTTGCAAGGATTTTTAATGAGATTGCATAAGTGAAATTGAGTCCAAATAATTTTCCATAAATCGTATTTGATAATCGAGAGGGGATGGGACAGAACGAGGCGATTTAAATTCTCGAATATTTCGCAAAGTGTACGGTTTCCATTCACTTCACTCCGTTCAATTAATTCCGAATAAATCCGAGACTTCGGCGTGACTCTGAAATGAGTGAGTAGCCCCTTGAATCCTCAATTGAAAAAAAAAAACTTTCTCGGGTGTGAACCTCTAGATGAAATCCAACAAAAAATCTAAACAAGTGCTTGACAAAATGATACTGATCCTCCCGCTGTTTATTGATAAATTAGAAATTTTATTATGCACTCTTCAACTGAAATAAACAATAGTTCGTATTTCTCAATAAAAATGTCATCCCCCGCGAAATCTTATATTCAAATACATATCTACAATAATAAAAATGATATCTAATAATAGATCATATAATATTTCAATAGCTCTAATTTTAACAGGAATTATGGCAATCGATACATATATATGGGAAATAATATTGATTGATTCAATCTATCTACGTCCAAGTATGAAGTGAATCCTTCAGTCAATCGACGGATCACTCTAGTAGAGTAGGGTAACAGAATACATAGCTAACAATATGTACTGCCTATATACATGTATACGCCGGGTTGGATTCACTTTGGTTAATTAAATTAAGTGTTTCACCTTGGTATAGAATGACGCAACGACTTCCGGGCATTATATTTCGTCGGCATGTTATTTTTTTTTCTTTCAACCCTCTTTAATGAAAAATTTTACATTCCAAAAGAAGCAGTGGTTGCACTATTAAAAATTTCGTCAATTCTCAAAAAAAAATGAATGACATTTAATAAATTTCAATTAAATTGCACTGAATTTTTCATTCATCTAAAATATTCCATAGAAAATGGAAAAGGATTTTAGAAATTGCCAGAATATTCACGAAGTCGAATGATTGATCAATGATCAAATGACAAATCAAATGAATTCACGAATAATGGGGCTGATGGCTAAAAACAATGCGACAATTGAAAATGACCGGAGCCGTTGTTTATCGCGTACAGTGAGCATACGAAAACAAAATGAATCAAAAGGTCATCCCGCAAATGACTTATTTTCATCTATTCCCTTTTCCGGACTGCTTATCAAATGAGTAAAAAAAGAAGTTGTGATTAGTTGAAAATAGAGCAATCGATACTCGTGGTGAATTCTCTTTGCTGTTTTATCCCTTTAATACCGAATAACAATCGTAGAAAACATTCCCTCCTACCCTTAATCTCATTTTGCTTCGGATTGTCTCACATGCACATGGTAGAATTGACATAAACTATCTATCGCATGATAAATACTGAACTTCATTCAAATCCATTATGCTTCGTTATAACTGCTTGCGTTACGTGGCAGCATAGTCGAGTCCTCATTTCATCATCTCTTTACATAACTTTTTATATAATTTATTTTTTCTTTTTATCTTGTGGTTAGTCACTTTTAGTTATAAAATAACAAGGACAAACAATCATGGAATTGATTAAATCATGACAGAGAAGTATAGGATTTGGATTTGCACATCTGGCCAATTGTTAGACCAATCCTCGATTTTCTTCCATTAATCGTGGTGAAGGATTCAATTTCATCGATTGAATTTTAACAAAGATTGGAGATTATTGATGGAGTATCGTGTATGGAATAGGAATACTTTTTAGCGACCTCTCACCCATCGTAACAGGGCATCCGCTAGGACATCCAAGTGTGCCTTTGTCTGAAACAAACCACCAAATTTTAACAATCAGCATTACATCAGCATTCAAATAATTCACCAAATGTATCTTTTCAATAATTTTTCCTACATTAATTAAAGATAATTCTCGAGTGCCGGAAAAATTGTCGATGTAGTGGAAAATTTGTGGGATGTCTCCCATTTTTCTCACTTGTATCGTTAAATATATTTTCTCTGTAGGTTTTCCATGGTTTCCCTCAGTACAAGCCAAATGGGCCAGTAAGGAAAGTGGGCCTGACACCGCAACAAAATAATGAGAGGATAGTAGGAGAGGCTAAAGGCTAAATCGAAGAGGTGTCTATCAAACCATGAAAACTATGGTAATGGGAAAAGGAAAAATGTAAAAATAAAAATAAAAAATATATTTTCTCTGTACCCCGAGAATAACTCGATATCGAGATACACCCACATCAATATTTCCATTCTCAAAATGGTCTATCTTTTGAGTAATTTTTTATACATTAATTAAAGATAATTGTCGAGTGCTGGAAAAATTGTGAATCCAGTGAAAAATTTTAGGGATGTCTCATTTTTTTCATTTGTATCGTTAAATATATTTTTTCTGTACCCTGAAAATAACTATATCGGGATAAAGCCACTTGAATATTCCTACCACGACATCATGCAGGAATCACTGCCTTCGGGGATGAATACGTGATCGTTTTGTGCACTTACCGTTTTGTAGAACATACACGCTTGACGATCCTCGTCCTCACCGGTTGGACAATCGATGAATCCATCGCACAGAACGTGATCGTCGATGCAACGATATCTTCCCATTCTGTCCGGTGTGGGACAGGCAAATCTCTCCATGCCATCCTCCGATGACGGACACTCTGGAAATATCAATTTTCCATTGGTTAGGGCTATTCTTCGCTCCTCATTCACTCGATATCATAAAAATCCATAAATTTATCGCTCTTAAATAAACAAAGCTATAACAATTTCATGAGACGACGACCTATCTATTATAAATAAAAAAATCGTGAGATACCCAGGCAATAATTTTTTACTCATTAAAATACGAAATTTCGAAGGTGCTAAAAGAGGTTGATCTCTCATGTTGAAATTGTCAACATGTTGAGGAGGAATTTATGTTGAAAATATGTTGAGTGGACGGTTCGTTTGTTTGTTATGCAATTTTGATGTCAAAGGTAATTAAATTTCTAGCGGTCCTCGAAGCACTCGGAAATCCTCAAACATCAGCAGTTGAATAATTAAAAGATCTCTTCATAAATTGTTTCCGTAAATATGTGCATTCTTCCGGGTAAAGCTAGTCATATTATATTTGTTATACGCAACAGGTGGTGGAAGTTGCTAGCAGTCAAAGCCGACCGACACGACGTTCATCCCTCGAGGTAAATTGTATTTTCGGGAATGATCGGTCTTAGTGATACCAGTGGTTATCGAAAAACCTGAGCCTTCAATTGCATCAATAAAACGGTACAACGAGGAGAATCCCTCTGCTCTGTGTGAATGTAAAAGCGATAGGTATCGATACTCAATTGTATTCGTTATTTATTTCTTTAAACAATTCCTCGGATCAAACCGCAATCGGCAATAGATCGACATACGATTTAATCATGATTGTGAACATTCTGTGATCAGGGACATCTATTGTGACGTTGCAAAGGTCAGAAATAATAATTGCTGTGAAGGTTTTCCACTGCTTCTATTTTTACTAATTTCTATAAAAAGAATCATGTCAGACATTCCGTATAACTACAATAAAAAAGGGGTGACTAAGCGGTGGTATATCATTATCCAATTGTGAAGAAATCGTTCTGAAAAATGTCTGCGCACCCGGAAGTGCAAAATTTATTTCATTTTTTGTCTGAGGGTTATCTAAAATTTATTAGCAAAAGTGCAGATGTGTAGTGAGTATTAATGTTAATAGAAAATTGAGGGAATACATATTTTGGAGAAAATAGTGAAGTCTGGGGGGCGTAATTGGCTCGTTCGCCCTTTCAACTCCGCAGGGGTGATATATCCCCTGTCAGCGCTAATTAACAGAGTTATCAAAGTTCTGGTGGGAAGATACTTCGTATTCCCAGCTTCATTAAGTCTGGCTAGTGAATATATGTAGTTTTCACATTCATGGGGCATGTTAAATGTTAATGCTGGGTTTATTCGGCGGCAAATGCCTTGTGAAATCCACCGGTTATTCAGCCTTGGTAACTTTTAATCCTGTGATGGCAAGTTTCTACGTGTTAACGTTGTTGTGGAGTCATATATTATACTTTTCACTTCTCATCAGCTTCATTACGGCTATCAAAATTCCACAGATTGCACGGGAAATTTTTAAGTGAAATTTCATCGACTTTTCATCCGTTGGAACGGGAAATTCAAATTCAATTCTTTACAATCAATTCTTCATTGTTTCCGGGAAAATTTATTGATAATACGATAATATTGTTGATATTGTTGTTAATAGTATTTATTATTTTTGATTATTAACACATTTTTTATTATTCAGAGAGGGAGTAATTTGTTAATTCTATTGAATTAATTCAGAATCCGGTTTTAGAAAATTGAAATGAGTGGAAATCAGAAAATTCTCTTCGATAAATTAATTAGCCAATCAAATTTCAATATAATATAATAATAATTACAATCTCCTTTCCAAAAATCGAGTGAGGACCGAGAAATTATTATGAAAAATCGTGTGACGTGGCTCGCGGACGACAGAATAATTTTCCCCATAAACAATTCAATAGAAAAATTTCCATTAGCATGTTTCACTATTGTTTAACAGTCAACCGAATGAATTTGAATAATGCCCATAGGAATAATCAATCAGTAACAAGAAAAAATTTTAATTTCCCGTCAAAAATTCATACCGCAACATTTGCATATGCATGAGCCATGAAAATACAAATTTCATGGTGTGTTTGTAACGAAGCGCACTCTAAAGGGATTAAAATAATTCCTGTGGGTCCCTAGTCCATTATTATTCGTGAATAACTACTCTGCATTTACGTAATTATAATCGCCCGAGGGATCGTCAATTGCAATTTGATGGGGATTTTACAAACTGCCGACTGGGATGTTGAAATTCACGAGATCATATCCCGGTGCACCATAAACAATTGCAAATATATTGAATAATTCGCTGTCACTCAGGGATTCAGTCAGTGGAACAGACAGTAGACATCTCTCATCCATCAATCATAACCAGTCCTTCAATTCCTCTTCCGCACTGTGTTCCAATATTGTGAAAAAATCCTCCAGAAAATTCCTCAAATGTTTAAAAAATTTTTTCAAAAACTACGCAAAACACTCGGTAATCACAAACCAGAACTAATTTTCATGCCAAAGACATCATTTCTTAATGGAAATTATATTGTTCTTACAGTTGTAATTACAGAATTTTCATTATAATTTATTTCAATCATCATTGCTTATTGGAATTGCAATTGTAATTTAATGACTTCCGTTATTTAATCATTTTTATTTAGTTTGTTATATTGAATTATTTAATTACACAGATGTAATCACCATTGAAATTAGGAACTGCAATTGAATTTTTCTGGGATAATTTTTTCTCACATAAATTTTTTACTACCGAAATCTGAGAATTCTAGTAATAATAATGATAATTTGGTTTCTGGGCTAAATTTCCCGTGTGGTAATGTATTTTTAGTATCGACATCCACCGAATAATGACACGGAACCGCTATTAAATTCGCATTAACTCTAGCCCCAAAAATAGCGAAAAGCCATTTGAACTATTAATTCAAAAAATAGAGTGACTCCGTGAAAGTTTGAGGTACGGGGCTGCTATAATTCCGAGAGTGTATTCCTCGGGGTGCCGTAAAGCCATGTGAGCATTTTCAGTACGGGAATATCTGCGAAACACTCAAGTGGTTAACGGTCACGCGATAACAACATTTTCACACGAGCTTGCATCCCACATTGTACGACTAACCCCAGAAAATGACTTACACCCAACTTCCTTTATGTATTTTCAGAAGTTCACTATAATAAACTCTAAAGATGCCAGTAAAAATATTTACTGGTTTAAAAACTTTCAATTTATCTTCATTTTTTTAAGAGTTCAACTTCGAAATTATCAATAATTAACTGAGAAGATGAATGCTGTAAAATTATTCATCCCTTTTAAAAAAATCAACATAAAAATTCCAACTGAAACAGCTTAAAATTTATAACTTAAGTTTATTAAATATTTAAGTAACCCTCGATTTTTCAGAGTCGCAAAGAAGTTTAAAGTCCTAAAGTGGTCCGAGAATTATTAAAACACAGAAATTAAAATTTCACTCATCATCTCTTCCGACGAGTAAATGAACTTGGCAAATATTAATTATTTAACCAGAAGAATTTTCCCTTCTGCGTGGTTCCCAGTCTCAAAGTATTTTGTACAGCAAAATCCGTTTTCTCCTCGGGCACAGTAAAAGATACTCCAACATTACTTCACTTCAGTATTATTTACTTTATTCGGAATTACGATGCCTCTCAACAACTTCCTAACGACAGTCAAGTTACAGTTCGCTGAAGGGCACTTTGCAACTTCCGAGAGAAATAGATCCACTGCATCATTTATTCTTCAATTTTTCAAGTATTCACATTCAACACGCCCCAAAAATCCCCCCTCCACCGCCCCTAAAAAACAATGACAAAACAATTAGCGCAATTCGCACCAATAAATGACTCTCAACTAATTTTTATCACCATAAAAGACAAAATGAATCAACAAATCAATGATATAATAACATATAAACAAAATAACAAATTGTTTTACAATGTAACAAAATAATGTAATCAACCATTTTATTTATTAATTGATTAACAAATTAATTGATTAATCAACCATTTTATTGATGATTAAATTGTTACTAGTTGGGCCATTTGGTGGAGGTAATTGGTGATATAATTTAAAACGATAAATTGGTGGGTGTAATTATTTATCAAGTGCGCAAAACGAGAGAACTCTATTCAGACAGCAAATGAGGATTTAGATGTTAACACTTGAGACTCAGGTGTTAACATCACTTGAACACAGCATTGATTCCCACCGAGAACAGCTTTTGTGTTCATGTGGATCCGCTATAAGCGTAGGACTTTGTGTTTGTGATAAGTCTTATGTACTTGCATGTACACCAGCTGCAATAACGCATAAGTACAATGGTGTAATAGTTTCCCACGAAGCCTATCACAACCTACCCCTCTGCATGTCACCTCTGAGTATCTTAATTATACTATTAAATTATTATCTCAGTCGTTTAATTATCGAGAGAGAAAATTACAACAATTTTATTTTAACGATTTTAATCTCGAAATCGTGAATTCAATTCATGGAATCACCAGAGCGAAATGAGAATTCATTCTATTCCATTCGTCTGGCGAGAAAAAATTATGTTATCTCAATTATTATAAAAATTATTATATCAATTGTTTATCAATTAAGCATTAAATAATTAATTAAAACAGAACTTTACAATAAAATGTTCTGCAAACATTCAATAATTAAAATAAAATGAAAAATCGATCGAATTCGAAGAGCGTTTTAATTTGAACGGCGGGATTGAAGATTTAATAATTTATTTTCTCTATTTTTATTTATTATAATAATAAAATCGTCCAATTATTATTCCCCGAATTGAGTTGAAAGATAAAATGATATTAAAGGAAATGCCATCTCCTGGATTTTGATTATTTTATCCCTATAATTTTATAGTGAAAACGTACACTTGAACCAAGTGGAAAGGGCAAAGCTTTCGTCAGACGGAATCCACTACACGTAACTGTACTCAAGTGGCTTAATTACACCTCGGCGATGGTACACTCGAGAGGATTTTTCCTTTTTATAACGGAATAA